TGCTAAAGAAAGAACTCTTGGTCAGCCGGTCTCGAATCTAGAGAAGGAGTGAATGCATTTCTTGAGTAGGTCTGAAGATGTAACAAGAGTAATTTTATCAGGTCACATGTACGCTAGTTTAGTTTAGATCTAGTGCTGATCCGGGTATAAATACTCTATTCTTCAATCTACACCCCTATCGTCTCAAACACATCACATTTCTGAAGACGGCCATTTAAATTATGTGTAGCCTTTGAATAGAATACCTGGCTACGAACATCCGAATACTTTGCCCCGAAGAGTGCTGGTCTCTTCACGGCGGGAGAACATTGGAGAGTAAATGAATGCCGTTTGTGCACTAATATCTACCGTCAACTCTAATTTTCACTATCAAAAATATCTTTGGTTGATAATCACGCTTAGAAGACAATAGCCTCTAGGTCTGGGCAACGGTGTGACTGAAGTGGATTTCAGAACCCCTTGAAAAATGAGATGTAAGTCTTGCACTAACAAAATCTCGACGGGATGAGACTCCACGGAAATTGACAGGAGCTTGTAACACCTGGCCATCGGTTGGTACATTGCAATCTATATTGGTGTCTCGTCGTCGGACTGGTTGGGTCTATTTATATCCAAAGATCTGTTAAGAGGAGCAGCAGCGCAATATCCTTGAGAATATATCCTCCGCGTATTCACTGATATGGACTGAATTATTCAATTCCCAACTCTAGAGGCCTGTGATTCAGTCGAATTAAAGGTGCTGATATACCTAACGATCTAGGAGGTCAACTTAGGCAACAAGGTTCGGAGATCCGAATCATGAGAACTGCCCCTCTTCTCTCCAACTTCTTTTGGCTCCACTCTACTTCACTTCGCTCGATTTGATTCACCAAAAGTGGTAGTGCAGAGTAATGCTAGTGAACAAGTGTGATATCGTTGTTAGGCTCAATACAGAAAGTATGATAATGATTGTGGGTCTATATAATCAGTAATTGTAGCTCCAATAATAAGACAGCCCTCTTCACACCTACAATATAGAATCATTCAGCGTGTCTTCGTGTTTTCTAAGGTATTCCAATAGATTGAGTTTCAAATCAGGATTAAGGATAAGCTACTCAGGTATTCATCGAGGGTCTTCTGTCTTTGAAGCTCCCCTATCATCTGAATATTTGGACTGATATGAAATATTCCCAACTTCATATTTTCACTGTCACTAAGTTATGATACTTACTTATATCTAGTCTTATATTGCTGTCCATTAATTATTCTGTCCATCCACAACTGATGGTACTCTTGTATTGTTAGAACTACCGAACCTGCAGCATTTTATGGAACTATACTCGCAGATTATCTATCTTAGTTAGGGATACTAAAGGTATCTAGAACAGGACTATATTGCTGCCTTATTTTGATGAAGCGTAATACCAAGTTCTTTGCAATTTTAAAGAAACGTGATTTGTCTCGTCACTATCAGAGGCCTAGATTATTTTCACTACTTCTCTCTGCTGTCATTCGATACATATTCCTGGGTTTTATTTTATCCTGATTTACGCCCCTAGTTCTCCATCCCAGCCCCCCGACTTTTATTACTGCAGAGAGTAGCAAAAGCCAACTTCAGATGTTAAACTCGTTCCTGCTGTTGTAGTTGGTGTTGGTAAACAATTGGGATAAAGAACTTCTAGTCTGGAAAATGCGCATATGTATAGTCCCCATTCACGAATCACACGAATATGTCCATGATAGAGAGTCATGCGCAGCTGAAATCAGAGGCATCAGAACTTGTTGGGTCATGTGCGAATTAGAAGAGAAAAAGCCAATTGTAGGCAACTCGAGGCTCAGGGAGTCGATGCAGTTAATCCAGAAAAACTTCTATATACCTTATTTATCGAATTTTTCCATGCAATGAACGTGTAGTAAAAGGTAGAAACAATTAACTTTAAGAATGTTTGTGAAATTTATATAGGTAATCTACACGTCAAAGTTTCGAAGGTGATATTCTATCATGGCTATCTCCCCAATTCTGTCTCTTGCTCTTGTTTTGTTGTAACTAATTGATGGTTTGATGATAAATAATAATTACTGAGATTTTTTTGGTTGTTATTCCAATCTCTATCATTACTTTTTTACACACTTATCTAATACCACATGTATACAACTTGTAAGGTCTTACAACCAGAGAAAAAATCCGTTTTGTAGACTTCTTACCTTGGAAAATTATAATTAATGAAAGGCAGTATATAACCCAACCAGTCCTACATGTAGATTTCCATATAGTATTTGCTGAGTATTAACAATTCAAACCCACTCTCTTCTCTCTTGCTCTTTTAAGTAGTACAGGAATCTCAATATTCCACCATCCACGAACTCGATCCGTCGAGGTCCATTCACTCCATTCATTAGTTATCTATTTTCCATATAAATATCCACGATCAATGCTCTCGTATTACCAGCACATCCCCATACTCCCTATCTCCATCAATTCCCGTAACACATCCCCACAAACCTGGTGGATGCCATTACCCGAGACCAACTCCTAAGCCGATAGGAAGAATGCCAGCCCAAAACTATTCTAAGAACCCTTTTTTCCCCGCCTCTCCTACTTTCCCTAGCATACACTTAATTTATATATGCATCTATCCGCAGAACACAAGCACGCAATACTTTTACTCCATCTCAAGTTTGTACTTCACAACCGCATTTTCATCAGCCGGATCACACACTCGTCCTATAACCTTCCATCCCGCAAGATCCCTATTCACCACTTACCATTCATCAATTCCAATATCAACCCCACAACCTACCACCCCACGAACTAAACCTCTGTAACATCCCCGTTCTCTATCCCCCCTCGTACAATTTTCATGCAGTGCACCCACGCACATAGAAGTGCAACAGAAGACTTTTTCGTTACATTTAAGGGTGTTCTGTTGTACAATGTAGTAGTGCAATACCCCTGGGCGAGGGACACGAAAGGGAAGCGAGGCGCTAGAAGTAGTCTGGGGTACAGACATGCAGGGAGAAAGTAAAAGTACAGGGAATACAAAAACTGCGAAAACAGGTGCAGCCAATTTAAAAAAGAAAGTACTACGCATCACTAAACGAGGCAAAAGAATGTGCGGGAAACCCGGTCCTAAATTGTGGAATATAAGAACGAAGCGAAGACTAGTCGAGCCATCGGAAGTACGAATTCAAATCGAATGTAGTACTACAGAAGAAGATATACAATCGTAAGCTCAAAATAGTTGATATATAAATTATTGCAAACTCAGAGATGATTATGTAGAGAGTTGAGTATTTACATATGTTACTCAAACAAGTACAAATATCACGAGTTTCTCCCCCGCATTTAACCCCGATCCGTTGCAACATGAACCTCGCACTATGAATATTGTATCTAAAATATAAACTTGTACAAACGGTTGGTACAAGGCAATATTATTAATTCATATCTTAAGCTGCGGTATACTAACACACACAACGTATTGTACATCACAGAAATGACCCAGGAATGGGAAAGTTACCCAAGTTTGGATTCCTGGGGGAATTCGTCCAAATTCTCATTAACCTTACATCGCAATGAAGATATGTTATCTTAAGACTCCAACTCTGTAATCGGAATCCTTGTATTCCTGTTCTTTACCCAACTATACTTTTCGGGTTATGGTTGTGCAGCATATATATGCGACAATTTGGATATGACACCGAGGCCGAGAAGATCTCCTAGAAAGGGATTTAAAGGGTAGTCGTACAGTACGATTGAAGCTCACTGTGTTACGCGAAGTACTTGCACAACACACTAGATTTTTTGAAGTCTACATGGATAAGGATGTAGAACTTCTTCCAATACGCGTATACAGTAGTTAGTACGAAGAAAAAGAGCCGGTCAGTACTCCACGTCGCATAGATAAATTTGAGGTTATATAACAAATTTGATATTCTTTTGACAAGACATGAGAGAGGTACGAGAGAAAGGTTCTAGCGATATTGTCAGAAACAGTTAAGGGTTTAATTTTGATGCTTTTCCAAATTTCAATACAATGAGTATATCCTAATCAAAACCCAGATTCATTCAGAAATAACCTACGTATACAGATCTAGAGTGACACATACACAACATTTTATAGCACTACTTCGAAACAATATATTGAAAAAGATTTGAGATTCAATACTAGTCTTAACAGATCGATATCCTACGGGGTAATCTCGATTTCGAAGATATCTAATATAATTTGATATATAAAAAATCATCGATTTATTGATTTTATTATTTCAATTCTTATTAGATATTAAGATTAAGATTATATAATACTTTTTGAATTATATATAATGATTAAAATTAAATAATCATATATAGTTTTTGTTAATTTATAAATATAATAAATTTGTTATTTAAAAAATATTTAAACTTTTATTTTTAATTTTATTATCATTTTTATTTTTATTAAAAAATATATTAATATTTTTAAAAGTTTATTTTATAAATAATATAAATTTAAATTATATAATATAAAATCTTAAATCTTAAACTCTTAAACCCATACACATTATACATCACACATCAACACAACACAAACCTTCCACCCTTTCATCCATCCACCCATCCACTCATCCACTCATCCACTCATCCACTCATTTCTTCACTCACTAACCCACTCACCCCTCACCCCTCACAGCACAGTATCTAACTAAAAACAAATAAAATCTCTATCATTTATTCTATTATTTTTTTAAAATTCATCATCTTACTACCCTGTCTCTATCTCTATTATTCAGTTCCTGTTTTTATATCTGATTCCGTTACACATATAATCCTAATCCCGGATAATATAATTTAATACTGTATAAAAAAGATTATAAAAAATAAATAAAAACAACAAAAACTAATCTTACTCATTAAACTACCGTGTCTTATACACAAGAATATTTTTTTAGTGAATAAAATATCTAATCACAAACTTGCGATGATAGGTATAGGTATTTATAAATGACTTTGTAATTATAAAAAAGATAATACACAAAAATAAATCCTGACCCAATCTAAAGGCAACTCCATCCGTCCTAATACTTGACTTTCATATCATTCCATCTTAAACTCCCAGCTAGTAAATACCCCGAGGTACAAAACTCTTACATATGTCCATACACTTCTTCCTTAACTCCATACAAATGATTTCCATACCCATACCATGCCCAAAAAAGGTCCTGTCCTACCATTACCCAAGGCTCAATAAGCTTGAATAAAACCCCCACCATCAAAAATTTCCCTGCGTAATGTGACCCTGACTAACAAAAATTCCGCTTTGTAGCATTCAGAGTAGCTTCCCTTAACCCATGTTCTTCCGCCTCACTTTGAATAACCATCAACCTATTTGTTCTCAACGATGATTATTCAATGGGCGCGATTTTTCTCTTTCATAGCGTGCTGAAGTCTTTTTATAATCGCTTTCTTTTCCCTCACTTGCTCTTGGTTCCGCTGGATCGTAGTGTTTGTGACTATCTCCATGGGCGATGACGTGAACATTCCCACTTCTTGACGTTTTTCCTTCAATATATTTCTTATCTATTGTGAATATAAATATTAGTAAGATGTGGAGAAAAAATCACACAGGTTTTATATACCAGCAGCGGCATCCCTATATTTCACATTTTGTTCTCCGCCACTTCCTCCAAAACCATGTCCATTGCTTGATAAACGTGTTGACATGTTTTGATGTGATCCAGTATAATAATCGGATGAACGAGTTTCGTACGAGTATTCTGAATCCCTTGGAGAAGATTCCCGATGTATGATAGTAGTTCTTTGTGTGTTTGTGAATCCACGAGAATCAGTGTAGGACATTGGGATTCTTCGGATGAGTACTTTCGGAGTATTTATGTATTTTACGTGCGAGGCGAAGGTCGATTAATGCTTCGTAGGGCGTATAAGGCGTAGAATGGAGTCTTGTAGTACTGTTAAGTAAATGTATGATAAACCTGATAGTTAATCTATTGCTAATGAAAAGAGCAAACAACATGAAAATCGTCATACTTATAGAAAAGGAGAGACTGAGAAATTGACTAATGAAATCATTCAATTGTTACCTGTTGTGCACACGACTTCTCAAATAAGGCGAAATCATTCGATTGAAAAAGCCCGAGAAGGATATTTGCCTAGTTCAATGCTTTTGGACAGGAGCTTCTACCCAATGGGTGGCTGCCTTAGAATGTGCTATACTGATCCAAAATGATCATTTTGAACCAGTGAGTCACCCAAACTAACGGGAAATAACATCGGTGAGTAGTTTCATCCAAATACGATGAGGGAAATCAGAGCTTAGTTGGTGACGTCGACCCTGAATGAGTATGATGTAGACGGGAGTTAAGTAATAAGCTTAAGGCTTCCGCTGGCGAAGCATTGGGTTCTTGGAAAGACGGCGGAAAACGGGAGGGGCCTAGCTTCTTTTCGCCATAAGTTCATTGACTCAGCCATGGAGAATTATAGAGTGTAGAAAGAATGTGGAGGCATTGTGCGCAGTAAAAAGGCACAGCCATCCGTGTTCTTGGCCCCCATTAGCCCCATGGCATCCTTTCGGGCATTTTTTGAAACAAATACTTGAAAGACAAAACAAACGGATGGAGATTTCGCGGAAAGTTTTGCCTGTAGAACATTTGAGATATTCATTGTACGAGAGAACATGAAGAAAAATGTGACGGAATGATACTATTGTTGCCTTGTCTGGGCACTGTTGAATAATGTTGAATAATGTTGAATAATGTTGAATAATGTTGAATAATGTTGAATAATGAAAGAAATGATTGTTTGTTTGAAGCTTGTTCAGCTGAAGTTGATCGTTTCCCAGGTTCGAAAGGTTGAAATTTCCAAGGCTTCCAAAGATTGAATAAGGCTATGAGTCAAATGATTCGTATGACTACTACCGGTGTCTAGGCGTAAGGATGAGGAACTGAAGGAGTCGGAATCGTTCCGATGAACAAATTTAATTGAAATTCGAATTTAGATAGAATAAAGAAACAAACAAACAGGTAAGCAAATACTCGCATCATCGTGAAGAGGAAATCGTTGATGGAACAATGATGTTGTTGTTGTTGTTGTTGTTGTTCAGGAAAAGAGAGAGGGGAAATGAAAGATAAGAATTGAAAAATGAAGTTGTGTGCAGTTGGAGTCGAATGATCTTGTAGTCACCCGTCATTTTTGAGAATTCGAGTATTTTAATTGGTTATTTGATCGATTTTTATTTTATCCACTCCTTGTCCCGCATAAACCTTCTTAATCCTTGTCACAGCTGTTGCTTCTTCAATTCATCCCATTCAACTAAACGTGTCCAAAACTTCTTTGTTATACAAACGCAACATCCAATTCTCGAAATAACTTAATTTCAGTTAAATCAATTCAAAGTTAACAAATTGATCCATCGATAATACCTTCACTTCAATATGCGTCTTTCAACAATTTCCATTCTTGCTCTCGCATCCAGCGTTCTCGCAGCTGAAGTTAAGATTGAGGTTACAAAGGCTGTAGAGTGTGAGCGCAAGACTCAAAAGGGTGATAAGATCCATGTTCATTACAGAGGAAACCTTGAAGAGGATGGAAAGGTTGGAAAAGAGTTTGATGCTTCCTACAACCGCGGTAAACCTTTAAGCTTTGTTGTTGGAAAGGGTAGTGTTATTAAAGGGTATGTATTGCTCGGAGATATGAGGCTATGAGAAGAATAAGGGAAACGCTAATTAATCACTGGCAGATGGGATGATAATCTTCTTGATATGTGTATCGGTGAAAAGAGAGTTCTTACTATTCCTCCTGAATTCGGTTATGGTGATAGAGCTATGGGTCCAATCCCAGCAAAGAGTACATTGAGTATGTGAAATTCGTCACTGAACATTCCCAACCATTGGTTCCTTTTCAAACTTCAACCTTTCAAACTATACTAACCTCGTTTTCTCATCCAGTTTTCGAGACCGAACTGATGGGCATTGAAGGAGTCCCCAAACCCGAAACCATCATCGAAAAGACTTCCTCCTCATCAGATGCCGCTGATACAGCAACCGATAGCGCATCATCTCTATCAGACAAGGCCACCGAAAAAGCTACTGAAGCAGCAAAAGGAGGTGTGAAAAGCGCTATTTCTGAAGCCGCTGAGGCTGTCAAGACAGCTCTTGCTGATACTGATGGTGATGGACAGGAGCACAACGAGTTGTAGATTCGACAAATGAAAATGAAAATGAGCAAAGGATTTTGAAACATGGTCATGAGGCTCCACATAGTAATGGTCATGAATTGTGATTATTTTGTGATGATAATAATTGGAGGAGGATGTGGGAGAAGGTCGAAATGTGGCAGGGTATACCATTTGAAAGAAGTTGTTTGGGATAAAACAGTAGATGAAATATAATAGCTGCGTCTTTGCTTGCGAATCTTACTTTCCAATTTGCTCATGTGAAATGGAGACACAATCCGACCATCTCATGTCCCACCCATTCCATCTGTTTCCTTCTTGGAGTAGGCCTCTTGCGCCTATATAGTATTCAAGATTTGACAAATACGAACAGCTTACATCATATATGCATTCATCAAATCAGTCCATTAGTACATCCCCGTCTGCACAAACCACCAGATCAATATACTATATAATATCCACAGATTATAACTCTTAAGACCATTTACTTCTCCATAACTGTTCAACTATTCATTTGATCACACTACATATATACCTCAACCTCGAGTAGGTAGACAGGTATACACTACAACTCCCACTCTTCAAACCATCTGCTATACTATTATTCATTTACTACCTCTATGGTATGTATATATGGAGCATCCCGAAAGTGGAGGACGGCAACGGTACTGTATGGGATGAACGGGATGGTATGAGATGGAGTGGATATGATTACCTAGCATATAATAAATAAAGGAGATGGCTGGGTGGATTGGATCTATTCTATTGAATATCCAAGTGTTGATATACTGCAAGTGTGTAATAGGACCGACGGATCAATTTTAATTTCTGATTTCTTTTTGCGCTCTCCACGGATCAATTGATAGACACAAAGTAACGAGTACAGGATTAAGAGTATGAATATAATATTAGTATGATATGAGTATAGCTGTGGATGTGGATCTGATTTCTCGTTTCTTGATATATATATATATATAATACTCTGCAAGAATATAAATAAGAATACAAATCCGAGTAACCTCAAGGTTTACATCTGAATGTTGTTATAGGTAGAGCTATAAGTATCGTTATAAAAATCAGTATCAATTAATATAATAATAAAGCTTTATAGAAGTCGATGGATTTATATATTAAAAAATACCTGATTTAAAACTTCGAGAGAAATTACAATATACATCCTAGCCTGAACTATATAATATATATATTTATAATTATATTTAATATATATTTTCGAAAATATTAAGAATATCATCAAAGTATCTATTTATATATCAAATATCAAATATCAAATTAAGATTTTTATATCTTCTCTTTTTATTTATTTAAATTTAAATTTAATTTTTTTTTATCTCATCATATATCAGATATTATAAACATCATTACTCACTATCAAGATAATAATTATAAATTCAATATACTAAGATTAAAATACAATAAAATAAAAACTTATAAAAGAATATTGATAATAAATATAAAAAACTATTATTATTAAGATATTAATCATATGAATCATTAACGTTAACGTTAATGCCTCGGCAAGAGAGATCATATCGCTATATAGCTTTCCACTCTCATAGTTTTAGTTCTTTAGACAAATCAATACGAATATCATTCAGTGTTACAAGGTAACAGTCAACCTGTCCACATGATAGTCTGATCCTAGTCACGTGATGTATCATAAGGATCTAGGGAATCGTATTCTAGATCCACTAGATCCAAAGGATCCAATCAATACAAAGGTCTATATAAATAAGAAGGATTCCTTTTGTAAAGCTTCGTACTCAAGATTAATCATTTAATATATACTACTATTAGTTACGAATTGCAACTATTGATATTACCTTAAGCCTTTGTTTGATGTCTAGTTATAAACCATTCGAGGATCCAGGCCACTTCCACGTGATCTAGATCGCATCTCTCGTAACATTCAGGTCATTGAAGCTTCACTTTCTCATACCCCGTCACAATCGACAATTATAATATCTCACTTCAGTCATTTTAAGTATTTGCAAATAGATATAAATATAAATTTAAAAAGAAGACTTATAAATAAAAATCAATAATGAATATAAAAAATAAAAGAGGCGATATATATATGTATATATAAACAAAGATAAAGTATGTAGACTTTGCAGCAACAAAATAAACCATGTGATCTCCCTCTCTACATTGTAGATCCACCGTAGATACATCTCATCTAATCTCCATTGCAAGAATGGGCTATGAAAATAGAGATGCGATGGAGATGAACTGCCGCCACATCTTATTCCGCCGCGAAGAATCATCGGCGGTAGAGCTCCGCACATATCCATCAAATTATTAACATAGCTGGGTATCATTATCAATCTCCATATCTTTCAATAGAAGTGCCTGTAGATACCCAGCAAACATCAACCAATATCTTTGGAGCCCATGAAACATCTAACATCCACATCCGGCACTGAAGCTCCATCCAGTTCAAAACGTGGATATATTCACCATTACCGGACAGGTATCCACTCCGTTGTACATCTTTCATCTCCCCTCTTCCATCTGCCGTACTCCATCTGGTACCACTCCGATACCTATACCGTCTCCAAATTCGAACATGTAGATGTACCGTACTCAACACCACCGAAACAGGCATCAACTCCGTCTCCATATCTCAAACATTTGCCGCTCCGAATGCGCTGAACCCATATACCCACACCTGCCCCTACAGTGCATGCCGGTACTTGAAGAACACCATGACCATGAGTATGATCATTACCCTAGTCACGGACCCCACAAGTCATCCATAGAATCTCTACCGACCGCAAGAGTGGGTGATGTGAATATATTCCCTATTACTTAAATAGGTAATCAACTCCGCGTCTGTGTTTCTGCAGTATCTACCGTTCTCCACTTGGAAGTTGAGACATTGCGATTTGCTGGGACTCCGCTATCCAGTTTCCAGGAACCATTACCCAGGATCCAAAACCCAGGATCCAAGATTGCATGTATACTCCGCAAATATCCTCACCATTACCCAAACACGTAATCCCCCCGTCCCTATCGTTTCTACCAGTCCCGGAGGACTAATAACTAGCAACTACCATGAACCCAGCACTTTGTCATTTACCACATTTGCCCTAACCCCGGATCTACACCTCTAAATTAACCCCGGAAAGGTTCCATTTATTATTCTTGTTGATACATCATTCCACTCCTCGTCCGAAGCACCTATGCTCTTTTCATCGCTTTCCCCACTCCGTTCCTAGCGCTGGTCGTGTTCGACTATGAACAAGCATCAAGCATCAAGCATCAAGCACTGAACGTCACTCTATCTGTCGATCATCTGTATAAGATATACCTTGTTCAACAAGTACAAGTCTTAGCTTACCCCAGACATGGATTGAGATCAGACATGAAGCTAGGTAATCCCGCTATGGTAATCCTACGGTTCGAAAAATCGTTTCTGGGGGAACATTTGATATAGTTGATCATTGATGATGAATAATTAACCCATACGATACTAAAGAAGTTTTTTGAGGCGGTCAAAGATGTATTTTTGTCGATCTTATTTTTCTGCCTTGATTTTGTGTTTTACAGTAGTCTGAAGGTTCTTTTGTGGCTTAGGTTATATTCCGCCTCGTCAATCAGGGGTACTAGATTACCTCATGCACCCCGGAAATCTGAGCGAAACGCCACATTCTCATATCTTATCTACAACATCTAATTCTACAATAACTCATAATTCTACCATCATCAATCCTCCAAATTCCAAATTTGATATAGGAACCCACATACCTTGATCTTCAATATCAGGCCTCATATCCGAGATCATAATCCCTGTCATGTAGCCATTTTTTCTTACAAGACTTACAACTCTAATACGTAACTGAAACAACACATTTTTCCCTCTAGACTTGTGTAGATCGACTAGTTGCGGATCTGGCGTTGAATTCTTGGCATTATTTAAAATAAATACGGGCTTCCACGTTTTTTCCAAATTTTAAACTTGGGATACGGCTTGGCTTTTGCAAATGATTCTCCTTGTTTTTTGGTTTTAACCCATCACTCGCCTTGTTTTTGATACTTGTCACTTTACATTGGATTAGTTTTGGAGCTGTATCGCAGTGGAATTAGTTTTTCATTTTAGGGGGGTGGGAGATGTGTTAGATAGATAAGGTTCTAGTTAAAAGCTTCAAGATCTATTTCTAGCCTGTTGATTGAGATTTTAATTTATGTTATACTGGTGTGTGGTCTAGTCTAGAATCTTTTTCTTCTGAATAGGCAGATTTCTTTCAGAAGTGCTTGTTTATACTTTTTGTTATATCTGAAGAAGCTAGGTTGGCTATTAAGTCTTAGTTAGACCTATTTCAATTAAAACTTTATTATCCCCAAGCTCTCAACGAGAAACTATTATTTGGCGCTGGTAACCCGGTGGCCAGAAATTAAACACAAAATATATAAATGATGCCAAATGATGATATCAAACTAAGAGAGTTCCACATATACAGCTTGTAAATTGAAATCATTGACCCTCGCTTGGGATTATCTCCAAGACCATCATCAGTTCACAGAAATTATTTCCCTGGAAGTTCTACTAGTGTACGTTGCACCAAATTTCCACATTCCTTGACCTTTATTGATACTTTAAGGATTGATCTCTTGTTTGCCGAAGTATATCAGCGGCTAAACTAACCCCCAAGCACAAAATCCTTCGCCATCAATCGTGCCACATCCACATCTCATATCTTCCCGTACCAAATACCCATTACTCGCGGACAGAGACCTCATCATCGATGCATACAAACTTTAGTATCAAAACGTACTTACCAGCAATACTTTTCGGACCACACATAAACTCCGATATTAAGAATCATCACCGAAACTACCGAAGAACCAATTTAGCATGAGGGAGAGACGCGTTTGACCATTCGGCCTACTTTCCAAACGACAGATCGTCACAAGGAATCCCCTTGTCTGCCTCCTAAATTAAGATACACACTAGCGCCCTAAAATAAATCTCCACACGTTTTTTTCAAAAGTAAGTTGAACTAAGGTCCTGTCTTGAAGTGTTGATCAGCTTGGGCTTGTAGTGTAGTCGAAGTACGATGGTACAAAAACTAGCCGATTTAGCCCCTTTTTAATCCCTGCATTTTTTTTTTTCGGAAGCTCGTGATATGATGTTATGTGCTATGGATGGATGGATATTAATGGATGAATAATCGAAATGTAATGATTGAAGGGAATAAGATGGATAAATTGGATCGAATCGACGATAAGGAAATGACGTTTAGTGATTTATTATACTTTTTTACTTTTGCTCGGCGGAGTACATACAATACATAGATAACTCTCTCTTTTTTTTTTTCTTCAACATCATCATGATCAACATAAACTCAAAACGTTGACAGAAAAAAATACTTGAAAACGACCAACCTTGAATTCAACAAATCAATCTCTAATTCTCTTCCGTTACTTCCTCTAGACTCAAACATATCTAGGTAAGTAGGTATGTAGTCTAGGTAGGTACTAGGTACGAACTCGAACAATTCAGTTACGAACCCCGATACCAAGATTCCTAATCTCCTAGTGCTCTTCTACAGTGTTCCCTGGCTTCGTTTCCGATATATTCCGTGGTTATACTTCGGTATGGTTATACGTCAGACCTTGGAGGGGTAAATCATGGGATTTCTTCGTTGCGACAACGGAGGTTCCGTTCTAGCGATGTGTTCTGTTTAGTAGGTGGTGAGTGAAGAAGATTGTATTTCGTTGAATTGATCACATTCACTTCACTGTAACCAAAACAAAGCTTGCAATTATCGTCATGAAAATAAATAAACTTAAAGGCTGTGTCGCGTGTCTAATAACAAACAACGATCTATAACCTAATCAAACCCAACGAGGAGAACGTTTCTCGACTCTAAACATCCTTCCTTACCTGTCCAAACCAAGTATCCCAAACTCCTAAAATCCAGCATGAAGAAAAGAAAGCACAACAAGAAACAACCAAAACAAAGCTGTCTTGCGGTATCCTAGTCGGGGTATAGGGCATCCATCCTAACACCTTTAATCCATCCTATGCCACCTTGTATGCCAACAGCTAATTGTATGGCCCAAATCTCATTTATACGCCTTCCATGTTCGTGTTTCCAACCGTTTTCCTTATACCCAGAGAATTAATACCGTGAAGCGTAAAACTTATAACCGTTGGCTAGTGTATTTTTTTGGGGTTTTTCTTAAATATTGCTGCCAAAAACGGTGTTACATAAGAATCGAGAGTTATACCATTGTCATATGCTCAACGGCTGGCGGATAACTTGATATGTTATGTCGATATGCGGCATCGGCGTCATTATCCCATATCAATGTGTTTGGAGAAGAATAATGGGAGTTATCTGACAGGCAGGGCGACGAGAAAGCATCTGGAAATCCAGAATTTTGGTGAAGTGGCATGGATTGTGAATGTGACATGGGATGAGATCGCGCCATATGTGACATGGGTCCCATGGATCCGGTGAGCATAGATTGATTAAATTGTACCTGTTGAGGTTGTCCCATGTGTTGAAGAGCTCTCAATTGTTGAAGGGAGTGGGGTACCGGAAACTGTGGGGATGAGCTGATTTGAGGAGATCCAGTATGAGACACGGTATGATGGGAATGTCCTATGGATAGAGGGGATCCAACGAGTGGAGATGATCCAATGTGAGATTCCAAATGCTGCGGAGATCCCATATATTGAATAGATCCGAGTCCATTTGGTTGAGGCTGTACTATAGGTTGATGGAGGTTGGTGGGAATCGTGGGATACATTGGTTGGCTGACTGGAGAATATTGCTGGCCTTGAAAACCCACTGTGGGCCGATCCATCTCTAGCCCCTCCAAAATGCTTTCATTAGAGAAATCTTGCTTTTCAGATGCAACCATCTTTACTGAATGCTCTGGAGTAGATGACAATGCTTGTTCTGGATTAATGCCATGTCGTAACAACAACGCAGTCAAACTTTGAATAAGCTTTTCCGACTCGGAAAGACGTCTCTTCAGCTCGTCATTCTGGCCGCTCTCTAAATCTTTGATTCTTCTTTGCAATGTTGCCAAATTGTTTCGAGCTTTTTCCCTAATATTTCTCTGGGCGTTGCGGTCGTTCTCTCTCTTTTTCTGTAGCGCAACTGGGTTCATGTTTTGTACACTTCTTCTGCTTTTAGTGGCTACGATTTATGTCAGAGATAATTTGAGAAGGTATTGAAGATGGTTTGAACCAGTCAAAGAAGATATTCACGTACCTTGTGGTTTGTTGTCTGCAGGCTGGGGAGGCTCCATTTTGACGCCGACAGGAGTCGTAGTTTTAGAGTTATCGATGGTCATTCTGTTGTTTGTTGTTTCTACAGTGTGAAGAATGTAGAATGCTTAGACGATGGAAGGTGAGGGAGCAGGTCGAAGATATGGTCCACAAATACTATAGAAGGTCCTTAAGGTTCCCCAAGTGCTTTCCCCAATCGTGCACTAATATGATCCGATTGTGTAATGAGATGTAAGAAAGGGTGCCTTTGAGATTTGTACCTTAAAGACGGGTATCGCGAAATGGTGCGTGCTTAAATTCCCTGGGGAAGATGGAGCCAATATATTGACACTCGAGCTCTTATAATTTCCTTGGTTTGAGTTGCGGGGCGAATGGATCACGAATCTAGCTTATAAAACTGTGGTCCAGGATACTTTTCAAGTAGGTACGTCTACCGGCAAAAGTTAAGCTTCGACGACGGATATAGAGGGAACGCCGAGAATGGAGGTTTTCCGACGTGAGCGAGCAAGCCCTTTAAAGTACTATTCTTTAAATTGAGTCTAGAGTTGCTCTGGTGAAATAGATAGTCATAACGATTCTGAGCTAGAATGCTTTAGTCCCCCTGTCAATTTCTCATTGATCGAAGCTAAATTAGTTTCTCGAAAGTCGAAAGTGATTAAACCATTGGCAAGGATCATGGAGTCCATTTTTCAATGGCGTGTATGTTATAAGTGGGTGGGTAGGTGGGTAGGTGGGTAGGAGGGTTGGTAGATCTTTTGAAGAGGAGGGGTGTATCTAGTTCTGTTGCGGTGAACACTTCAAAACAAAATAAGTCATTACCGATTACTTATGTATATAGACAATTTTGTAATCATAAACGAACTTCATCTCCTAAGATGAATTATATCTCGCAAATACCGTTGAGTTGTTAGTGGCAGTATATTATGTGGTGTGAAAGTAACTCTTTCGGCCGAAGTTCTTCCTAACTGAGAAAATAATTGGTTGAGAGGGGCTGAAAAGGCTCCTACTTCCTCTAAATAAAGTTTATTTTTCTTCAAGGGCCCATTTCTTTCTTATCTAATATTCGTGAAGTATAAACTGAAGAATATATGAAGCCTAAGATGCAAGTAAAGGCCTTACACTACGGACTCAGCAACAATTTGCGAGTTATTTCCCCGAACGGCTTCTTCAGCAGTGGTTACACAACATGTGCGGTTGCGCCCTTACAACAAGGTGAGAATTATTTTCCGAGGCTGTTTCCGAGATGTGTGCCTTTTCCCTACACGGAGTATGGCATTGCCAATTAGAATGGCTGGCCGAGCCGCCTTATGCGATTAATTTTTTTTTCCAAGGGACGTACGTATCTGCAACTTCAGGGTTGAATGCATCTCACGAATCTAAAGATCTTCACCAGCTTCATATTTCTTATTGCGCAAAATACTTACATATCATTGTCATCGTGTGATTGACTTTAACACTTCATGTAGCCCTAATCTTCGGTGCAGAAATTCGAAAACATGTTAAGATCAACAGGTAGTTAAGCTTATTTCTCTTCCTTCGAATCGGTTATTTGTTTTATATATATTTTCCAGCCAAAGTGCCGATTAGATACCCAATATCACGAGTTTGTCCCTAATCATTCGGTTTCTCCTAATACGGCAATTCCAAATGGTGGTGGTAGAATAATTTTAAGTCCTAGAAACGTGCTGAAGTACCCACCTTCACACCTCTCGCATACTCTGATGCCGACTAGTCATGTGAGCCATGTGGCAAGGCGCGATGTGATGGACGTTTCATGAAGAATTTTGACTTTCGTGGCTCTTTCAGGGCGGCTGATATTGTGATTAGTATATTCCATCGAATTGATAGTTAGTTGACGCAACAGGGCGGGTCAAGAAAAACAATGCAACATTGTTGAAGGGGTTGTATCTTTCTAATCAATAAAAGGGTATTTTCCGTAATACAAAAAATTAACAGTCTGATCTCTCAAATCTCACTCTTCCTTGCAGGCCTGAATGCATGTTAGAGTTCGAAGTCGAATTTGAACCCGAATTCTAGAGTAAATTTGTTTCAGCATGTTGTTTTGATGGACAAATTATAGGGGTATATGGTATATGCTCAGCCTACTGGCCATTGTATTCCAATGTGAAAATTCAAAATAGGATTATTATCAAGGATAACAATATTTTAACCGAAAAACATGCTCGTACTACATACATCTAGAGCACCTTGCCACTTTTGTGCTACTTTTCGCTACTGAGTAGTCTTGGAAGTTGGTTGGTCTCATTCAATTATAGCCACAAACAGCTGTGGAATATTTCTCGTGCTCAATCCTAGCGACTCAGCTGTCATTGTTGAAGCTGATAAAATGGTCGAGAACTTCCCATCCAGCTTTTCTTGAAGTTCTTGAAATTACTCTCAATCAATGAATCCTTCGAGAGAAAAAAATAAAAGCCCATCTGAAGGACTATACGCTCGCTTGATGGCGATTCTCAACTCAATCCTACTTCTTAAATTTATACTCGGGGTTTCAAGACTTAATGGGGAAATCCACGATGCGGTGAAGATCTTGAGCCCTGCCTTTCTTTTCCTCTGGGTGTGGTGTGTTGACGTCTAACGCTATTTTACTTATTTTTCGAAGACCCTTCGTTTTACCCATCATTTCAAAATGCTGGTTACCATCTAGCGCTCAATAAATATAAACGACGATATGATACAAGGTGTTGTGTCCAAGGTTTGAAAATTTGAGTTCAATCTTACATTTCAAAAGGATCTCAATTTATTATGGATCTCAAAGTTAATATGATTTCTTGCATTATCCGCCTACGGCGTCGATCCATTGATGCATCAGATCGATATAGCGCGCGCACGGAGAAAGTTTTAGAGAGTCCATGGAAACAGAGGGTAAAGAAATTTATTGTTTACTTCTCTTCTCGTCTTTTCTCGTTGGACAACACAAAAATAAGTGTACGACCTACGCGACTTTCAGGCTTTCCAGGCCCTCCTCCAGGCCCTCCTAACCCAAGCTAAACATCCTTTTCCAAGGCTCCAGCCAGCAACAAATGGAAAAGTAACACACTTTCCGGTTCTACAGTTCATAAGAAATCAGGTTTCCTGCTAGTTTTGCCGGTTTTGATGAGATCTTCAATACTCTTTTGATTTCTCTTACTCCATGTTCCATCCATTGTTCGGTCCTAAAGAACACTATTTTTTGTTCCAGTTAAGTCCGGTATTGGATATCAATCATTATACGGGCAAAGTTACGATGATCAGATGGTAGCTAATCTTGAAAATAGTGGTGGTCTAAAATCATTTCGTTGCGTTTTTAGGTGAATTATTAGTTGGAACATTTCTCTTTCTCTTTTTTCGCCTATGGCGGAACTCAAAGCGCTAATTAAGCATACCAAGGAAGTACCTTGGTAATAGCAAGTCCGGTTTTAATTAACCAATTGGTTCACACTTCTTTAGTTTTTGACTTCAGCCTTGCCAGCAATGTCCGGATACTTTTTTTGGTGTTGATGAGGGACTTTCTTGTGTGTCCACTGTCCACCCCACCTTGACCTGGACATGCCAGTTCCGCCTTCATTGCATTGCCAGCGAGTATCAGCAAAAGGCCCGAGCATAGGGTTCTCCGGAGCTCGGGTTTTGAATGGAGACAATTTTTTACTATGGGGGAGATGAAATTCAAGCTCTAATGTTTGTAGATCAGAGTTGCTCTTTGCATTGTGGATGTATTGGTGGAGTGGGTCATAACAGGTAAGTTTTTAACTAAAGGTCACAACTTAGGGTCCTCCCGTGTGCACTTCTGGTAACAGTGTCCTTGATCCACCTACAACGTCCCACACGTTCATTATAGAGTTCTGGAAATCACAATCACTTACATCAAAACATCTAGATCTATTTTCATACCCATCGACCAAATCCTCACCGCTGCCGCCGTTGTTCGAGACTTCATCCCAGGGAAACAATGGACACGGTCGTTGAGCACTGTCCTCCGGTACTTCTATCACACTAGGGGTTTCCTCAAACGCTCTTTACCGTTGAATTAGAATTATACAATTTTCATGTTAGCCGCCGAAAAAACGAAAGCTACATTCGTGGCACCTGCAGGGACAGTGCCTGCGCTCTTTGTTGTGGAGATTTGCGAACATTGCTTGGACGGAGGGTGCTTTGAGTCTTGCTAGAAGCTTTAATGCAAACGTTATTAGTGAATTTAGGGGTCGCCATTGAACTTACTGTAAGTCTTCACTTGTTGGCTTAGTTGTATCTACCACAGTTTCGTGCCCCGTCTTGGGAACATGCCCCAGGACCCTGAAGCTATTTCGCCTCTGTTCACGGACGACCTCTATACCGAAGAAAAAGGGGGGAAGAGGCAGAGCCAAAATTGTTAATCATCTCCGCCTTGGGAATCAAAGGGGTCAGGCGAATGCTAGGCATGCAAGAGGAGATTCGCATGTGTGAGAAGGAGTGGCGATAGACCTAGTACAATCTGTGATAACAGCACCCCTTTCAAGATCATGGGATGCCCTTCTTGGAAAGTAGGCCGAGTACAAAGTGCAAGTCAGGCAATGTATGAGAATGGGGACGATTTGAGGTTTGCAGAGGTAGAGAGGAAAATAAGATGGTTACACCAGAGGTATCATACGAAGGGAGGTCAATAGGGCCACGCCTGAGATTACAGGTTAGCGGGGAGCAATACGTTTAGGACGTCGATGCCCAGGATGAAATCAGGTTACCTATCGAAATTTACTAGATTGGGTGAGATGATTGTTCAGATGCGCAGTTAATTGCTGTCGAAAGCCCGAATGAATTTGTTGTCAAAAATTTCTCTGATCATTGAGCACAGATATGTATAATACACTGGCATTGCATTGCATTGCATAGGCGCGAGCATGGGGAACACAACATGCATGCAAAGGAGAGGCAACTGAAAAAAGGTTAAATCCTGGGCATCTGCAGTCTCGCATGACTAGGTGGCGTATGGACAAACAAAAGCATGCGAGCATGCGTTATACAGAATGATGTACTGTGCTGTAGTATAATTTTGTCGTCTAATTTGAAGACATGCGACGAGAAAGAGAGATATTTTTCTTTTCGTTATGATTAGGTTGCATGCGGCATGGCATGTGGGAGGGAGTAAGCGTCCCGTCTACCTGGTGAGCTGCAACTAAATTCCACTGGGAATAATTCGCCAACCACATCCGACAAATGTCTCAGATTCGCCAATCTCCATTCTTTAATTGCGGGTCAGCGTCGGGCATTCCTTTTTTTCCTTCTAGCTCTTGCCCTATTGATTATTCTGCTTAATTCCTTCGTCTCTATTCGCATCTTCACGAGGCGTGTGAGCTGAACGACAGCAGGTTAGTATTGTTAGCGATGTGTAAATAGGGTAAACAGTCCTCCTCCCACTTTTGACTCTTGAGCCTTGCGAAAGTGGGATGCATCATGTACATGCTCCCCTACAGAGTACAGTACATTATCATTATCGTTACCCCTCAAACCAATGGTCAATCATATATCAACACACAGACATCAAAAAGTCTATTTAATTAATTCTCCAAAGAGGCTAAAGTGCCCCATGATTTGCGACATTAGTTGTTGGTTATAATAATACCTTGGTTAATATTGATGTTTATCTTTACATCTTATTCCTATTCCTACTCTATCGCTACCGTTATCGCAAGGTATCTTCAAAATGCAGGGTGACCTTACGGTTACATCTTCGCTTTGACATTTGCTAAATCTTACAGCGATATGATATCTATCTAACCTTACCCTGGATCTTCAACCCTTAAATTGTAGATGTGTTGGAGATCAAATCATCTTACATGCATAAACACCGAGTATATATGTCATACGACTGTGCGGTCCATGTAGGGTGCATTTTCAAAACTTCCAAAATTTTTCTATGCATTATGCGCAGCGGGACTAGGATCTAGGCGGATGACGGTGAATGAAGAAGGGGAGAAACTGCTTGCTGATTGGGAAGGGGATGTTAGCTTTTATGTAGGCGAGGAACGATGTTACCTCAAATGGGTGTTCACGGGTGTACACCGTCTTTCCTACATCGCTGATAGGTTAGTTAATTTATTAAAGTTTTTTGGCGCTGGTTGTTGCGTCATCTGATAATTGTTTTTTCTCTTGAGAGGAATGCGAACCCGAGATGTTTCTTTGAGTTGTTGGTTGGCCGTTTCGATTGAGGACGGTTAATCGTTGTCCCGTCTAGTTGGCGGTGAGGTGGACGACCTTTTCGATGGCCACGCAGTCATAACGTTGTCACCAACACGAAATATACAGCGTAAACTGAAGTTTCGTGTCGCATTCGCCCACCATTATTTTTTGTTCAAGCTTTTAAGCTGGATGAACAAATAACCCTAGCTAGGCTGGGACCAATCCGTATATGGTCGAAGGAGAGTTATGGAGGCAGGCGTGTTGGGATGGAGGAACGAAAGGAGCTGATAGCAAGTATTGTGCTTGGGGAGGAGATCCAATTCTATTACGTACTATCTTCTTCTCGTCCTCTGTAAACTGTGAATTGCCTCGCCACCTAGGGATCAGCGTGCTGTGGCGGGGTTCGGTGGACTGAATGTCCTATTTTCCTCTCTCAAGAAGCCAAGTCATCACTAAACACCTCGCTCGGGGCGTTGTGACCTCTTCAAGCAACCGCAGTCCGCTGATACCATTCTTCTATGTGCAGCTAAGTGTCTACTCTACGTATTGGTGACTAGTGGGCATCGTGGAACAGTTGATCACCGAGCAGTTCTTGTCAATACTACGTGTTTATCTCTCGTCTCTACTACAATGATGGTAAATGGTGCTAGATACCAGTGCTCATATTCAAAACTGGGTCAGGAAAATGCTGTTACATCTTTGCGGAATTCCGCACAAGCATTAAGGCTACAACAAGCAATGGTTCAGTATCTTTCTCTAGCCCCGATCCATTATCATTTTTTCTAACTCTTGCCAGATGCATTCATGTTCATTGAAAGTTGTTTGTTCAATTATGCTCGATTTCGGGACTGGTTCGGCACATGATTCACTTATGATGTGTTTATGAATTTGCATACGCTGATGCTGCGCCGTCTTCTTTTTGGTTAAGCACCGCTCCGGCATCCTTCTTGTGTTCACATGAGATCTTGGCATCCATAAAGAGAAGCTTCTTGCTCTGTCGAATAACTCACATGATTGAGTAGCGGTGAATAACTGTATCACCGACTAGATTTAGGAAAGTGAATAACCTTTGCAAGTTGCAGAGGCCATCGGAGTTTATTTACATATACCGATGGAGGCACAGTCAACTTGCTCACACGCTCGGGCAGGGAAATTTCGAAGAAGACGAAAGGAGTTGTGCTGTTGTTCATCTGTTTCGAAGAAACTTTCTCACGATGCAAGCCCATCTATTTGACTTTTGAGTTTCGGGAGGATCAATGCATTGTCTGATAAAGACAAAATCGGGGAAGGCAACAATGCAAAGCGTGAAATGACAACAAAACCAGTCATTTTTAGATTCCTATCTCAAAATACTGGCAAACGCTCAAATCTCTGTCTGCCTATTATTAGAAGACTTAGCACTTCCATTCTTTTCCGAACGCAGTTAAGAGTGCTACAGTCTGTGTGTTTGAGAAAATGAGATAAAATTCCTACAAGTCTGTGCCCACACAAAGCTTTTGTGTGAGCATCAACAAGCACACTGGAAATAGTATAATTGGAGACCTCCCACCTTAAAATTGTTCTCTTCTTACAATAAAGCATTACAAGCACTTGATTTAGTTGATTGGATCACCGGAAGAAAGATGACTAGACGGCGGCTGCATACTAAAAAGTGAATTGTCCACACGCCTGTGGAATTAAGCTTCCTTTTGAGAGTATAAAGAGCCCTCAGTCGGCTTGTGAGGCCAGCAGCGCCTAATGGAGATATTGAAGAACACTTCCGGAAAAGTATTATTGGCTAACCGAGCTATGCTATTGTCGGGGCAAAGTTGCAACGAGAGCGGACAAAATTGAAAATGCCGATTTTTTTGAAGCCTGCAAAAGGAGGGATTATGAGCGAATTAATTAATGACCTATAGATGGCCCGGAACAAGGTTAGCCTTTTGAGTACTTGCCAATTGTCTCGGATAATATTTCCTCTATCCGGGAAAATACATTTGACACTGCATACCCGTCAAATTAAGGTTTTGTGGAACGATGTCGGTCCCGATGCCGACAGTGAAACGAGACAAGGTAAGGCGACGCGCGGCGATGAAAAGTCTAAGTATATATACGTAAAAGTCCGATAATTGCCCTACGGTGGTCTGGTATGGCCATTCCTTCCGATTCCTCCCGAGCCATTCTTCGTCTTTACCCAGAGAACTGTGTGAAAATTCCCAAAACAGACTTTTGGTATTCTTTTCTTTCTGGTGTCGTAGAATAGGTCACAGTATGTTCTGGCAACAAATGTATATATTCAAGCTATAGAAATATACACCGATTCGTTAGCTTCTAATATTGCGAATCTCCGTGTGTCGAGCCAGTGAAGACTCTCCTCTCACTCCTTCTTTTGAACAAGATTGTTGTATTAATCAGCCATTGACCATCAGCATGGTATGGTATTTCTAGAGCATATCAAATTTTCCAAACTCCAAAATGCCTTGTCATAGCTTTTCGTTTCCTGCAATATATAAAAAGCTTCTCACATATCTTTGCTTCTTCAGTCACCACAAAACAAGAGCAACGATAGCAGAGCATGGCTGAAGCTTAATCATAAAGTCGCCAAATGGCTATTTGCGTATATTCTCATATTGGAATCATTATGTGTTCGTGTGAAGCCCCGGCCGGAGCTTGAGAAAAAACTTACCGCTGTTGGAATCATAGCGGGAAGTTACGATGCAAAGAAAAACAGCAGTGATAATTGATGTCTAATCAGAAGCAGTCAGCATTTGTTATTGTCTACTTCTTCGCCCAGCTTATCAAATTATGGCCATAAAATGATGATTTTCCTGTCACAGATTTAACTCCTAGCAGATTTCACTTGCTTTATCGACAAGTCTGGTTTCAATTTCTCAAAGTGGCCCCCGGGCAGGCAGATATAGACTTGTTGAAACTATATTGGGAATTTGTGAAAGATTAGTATCTACTCTTTTATAAGCATAAGTTGCGAAGTACTCTGCGTATTTGGTGCCTCAATAGTGAGCCGTGAAAAGTCAACACGCTACAGATCTGGGGCTTGATGCGTATTGTGCTTCAATATATAGTGAATTTCGAGGCCAATGCTCGTATGATTTCTTTATGATAAGCTATATAAAGCATTTCATTTCTTGGTATTCGTTACACTTGGTCGTCTCGTTTCACTGGTGAGGCCTGCTCAAGGCGGGCTCCGTAAACACATTAGAGTTACAGCTCTGCCGCGTCTGTTCCTTCAACGGGCCTCATTGGCGCAGCTAGCAGTAACCACATTCTCGTCCGTCGATTCAGATCTGTTAAGAAATATAATATCTATGAGACAAAACACAGCTAGCACGTGAGAACTAATATCAAATCGGTAATGCTGATAAGAACTGAAAATAAGGGGTAGCATCACCCGAAGCATTTTCTCAAAGATAGTATAGACATTGACAGTTACTTCCATCCCGTATATCAAAGATGTTATAATTCCATGTCAGTTGATGCATGATACTGTCGACAAGTGATTAAGATAGATATCATCTCAGCAACAAGTCTATGAAGAGGCACTTTCACCGCGCGGGATCAGAGAATTCGGCTATGACACACAGAAGCGATCCAATGACCTTGTCTCTTTCCTCTTTATACTCCACTAAAAAGTCATGAAAGTATGACTTATGTATTGCTCGTCTTAAAAGCTTGCAAAGGACTTGGTTCAAAATTCACTTTGGACTGGAAAAGTCAACATCCTTCTTTGGCACATGAAAGCTTGCCTGGTGAATCTTGAACTTATCCTTCACCGGTACTGATTTATATCTATCACAAAAGGTGGAACCAGAAGGTACCATTGTACGACAATCGAGAAGATTTCAAGAATATACGAATGCCAGCTTTCATCTTTCGGGAAGACTCTGAGACAGCTGACAAGGCGCCTTCGAAGTATCTGCTGATTGATGATGAATAGGGGATTCCATACCGATGCGAGGAGCCGGACATTATTTGTGATAGGTTTGTTACCATTTCTCTAAATCAGATGACATAATGAATCGCTCTCATGGCTCAGAGACGAGTGTATAAGATTGGGTGAAAGTACGGAATGAAAGTAAAAGACAAGTATTATCATTCAGAGATATCCTAGTTGCCATTCATCTTGAGGTTCCCATCTTAAATTTCTGATGAATTAAAGAATAAGGAAGTTCGGTTTTGAATGTTATTTATGGGCTCTAAGTTGCACTTCTTTGCGCTGCAATCTCTCCGACTTGTGTATAGAATGGCAAATAATATATCGCGAGCAAATAGACTTATATTACTATTAAAAAAGAGAAGAACTGGAGTTTGGTCTATGGCTGTGTACTAGACTAATTGATCCATTCCGTTACAGCTCAGTATTCATGCTACAACTGGTGTGTCATCTTCAAAAGCCCATGTTAATTCACCGGCCTCAGTGCTCTACATATCTTGTCCAGAGAGTCCTCGGCAAAGTTAACAGATCCACAATACGGGGAAGAACAAAACCCCAACTCTAAGATTCAACTCCGGGCATAAAGTTACAAGCCTTTGACAAGCCTTTGGACTTCATTACTGTTAAAAATGAAGACAAAGACACTACAGGGTGGATAATTACTTCAGATAGAAATAATGTAGAATGCTGGTAATCCCTTTATAGCCCCTACAGCATAGAGTTCGAGAGTCATGAAAATGTTTTGCCACTTAAAGTAAAACAGGTATTCTAGTAAGATTACATGTCTATTAGCTTCTAGCAAAAAGATGATGATACCAGTGCCCTTGTATATCTGACAGCAATACAGATACATGGTCAGTGGCATTGGCCAATTTCGGCATTCGCCAATCAACGTGCACATTTCGCCGTCATTTATCAGAACCTGAAAAAAAGAAAGACAGTGGATGTGAGACGAGACTAGATTGAAAAACAGGATATATTTATAACTAACAGGAAAACAGCTTTTCTCGACCGACGGTAGGTGGTTGAGTCCTAGAGCACTGACTATTAATCGTTATAACGTTCAGCGAGTTCCACTCTCATTTACCACCTTCCCCGCGGATATTCTCAAGGACATCTCTACTCGTGCAAATATAACTTATTCTCTGCATTTTTTGCGATTGTCGGCGAGTAGACTTTACATATCCTTTCTTTTATTTGTGTAACGGTGCGTATGTTGCGTAATCCACCAATAGATGACTGATAAATAGTTGTTATTTACACTCCATCACCAACAAAGCTCTCCATCTTATCACATTATGAGGCGTAGGATATTAAGGTCCCCTTCAAGATCGAGACTCGTGGATTCTATCCCATGACCTGGACCAAACTATCCTCCCTGCTCGATACCATATACAAATGACATTCATCTTCCAAATAGGGAAAGTAATAATGGGTCGATAGATACAAACGGTCATCCAGATATTCCCACACCAAACCCAACAATAAAAGATCACTCGAAACTTTACTCTTCTAGATTATCTTGAAGTTTCATTTCAATTCTGGTCTTGCGCAATTTATATACTGATCTCCCTACAATACCCATTTCCGACCAAGGAACATAAATTCGAAAACTAGTAATTTACACGGGGAAATGGAGAGCAGTAGTCTACTCTCAGCAGCATCCTCCTATTGTGGCATCAAGGTGGCGGAACTAATACAATATTCCGTGGTATAAATAGCGCCCAGAACCCGATATCCAGTTGCTAGAGATCTATCCGACCTGGGCTCCTGTCTGGACAATAAGGGGATTGAACACAAAGGAAAGCATGCGAAGATAATTTCCGATATGGCTTCTATCAGCTCTTACAATTATGTATGCATATTCCCAGGAAATGCAAATACTCAAATGATGGCAATGAATGATGATAAATGGTTTTCGGAAGCAACAATAACAATAAATTAAATAATGGAAATAATTGTTATCAATGGACAAACATGGACGGATGGATAGCGATAGCAAGCAAACTATGGGCAGGAATTCTCAAAACCATCATTTGTAGGTGCATGATTTATAATGAAATTTTCTTGAAGGATATTGAATTACGTGGCGACCCATACAATCTCTAGGGATTCCCTGGTTATTGTAGTTGTACCTTTGTAATACTTGTGTACTGATTTATTTACCCAAATTAAGGAGTGTAGTCGCAGGTCTAAAGGAATTGGCAACCCATACCTCAAAGCGTTGAAAATGCCTCATTGTTCCAATTTAATTCATATTGCGATATGGTTCCAGCTAGCTTATGAGGCAGAGACACTAGAAAGAAATAAGATGTTTGCGACAGATATGTTTTATAGCTATCATCATAGTGAGCCCAAAGCTGCAAATACTTTGCAATAAAAGTATCATTATCTCAGGCACAAAATCATGGGATATTGCTGAGGGCCTTTGGCATCAAGTGCATGCTGCCTACTCATAGAAAGTTTGCTTGGTTCAAACAAAACATATTTATCAAAACTTCTTTGCCTAGAAAGATTACTGTTTGCGTTACCACATAAAAGGATCGCTTGTTACGATCAACCGCCGCCAAGCGTCTACCCGCCCGCAACAACTTTGTGCGCCAACAGAATGAAATCGCAAGAACTATCAAGGAAAATAACATAGCTTGCGTAGAAATTATCGGATAAGCCGCTGACAGCATAAACACTGGTGAAAGGCGCACTGAGGCTGCCTTTCGGTGCGATTATGCGGTAGAACCACATAACACTTTCATTGAAACATGGAATTTGAGGCTGTGTAATACTTAAATACGCGCATGTTTCCCCTTCTCCTCTTGATTCGCTACTTTTTCCTTCTTCTGTGACACAAAGATGGAGGACGAAAACGGAGCATCCAACGTACAACTTCCAAGTTCTGAGCATGAAGACCTTATCGAAGAAAGGTCCAACGAAAAGTTCCCAATCATTGAGGTTTGCGAGATTAGTGCTCCTAACACTTCAGGAAATGTTACTCCAGAAATCGTAACTGCAGAAGAAGATTCTTCAGACGTTGACATGTGCTCGGACGAAAACTCTCTATCCAACGAAACTCGCGACATTGAGGTTACTCAGCACAATCCAGGTGACGATACTGCAGAAAACGCATCTCAGGAGAAAGAGCTGCCCAATGCGCCCGATCTTGACTTGCAGTTCTCCACGACAGATATCTCCGAGCTAGAAATTTCCGAGCCAGAACCTTCCGAGCCAGAATTTCCTGAAACCAAGCCCCTTCAAATCGAAGTTACTCAACTCTCGGAAAATTTACGTGAAACCATTGAGATTGAGGTTTCTCAACTTTTGAGCCCCTCACCTGAGCCCATTGAGATTGACATTCCGGAACAATCCGACTCTTCACCCGAGCTATCCGAGCCACCCAATCAAGGACTCCAAGATCACAGTGGATCCGACGCAGACAACGAATGTTCCGATGGAGAAACCACTCGAGTCCTTGGAGATTGGCAGCTTCGCCAACTGGCAGAGAACGCACTTGAAATTGCTATTGATGTCTCTACACCAAAACCTTCAGCACCATCTCTAGGCGACCCAAACATTTGCAAGCCCCGAACTCCACTTCCAGAACGAGTGTGGCACCCATCATCAAGCGACCCCACGCGACCGAACAAACCAAAATGCCCCCCATGCGAACGAAAGAAGAAGAGATTTGATTGTTTGGGGAGTCCGCCCTGCAATGAGTGTAGCAAGAGGAATATGACGGCCGAGCAATGTGCTTCGTTTGCATTGGTGAGGAGACGAGGAAAGAGAAGACTGCAAGATGATGAGGGGATGGTTACACAAAAAGCTGGAAAGAGAGGAAAAAGAAGATGAGGAGCATTTCAGGAACTTTACTATTTGTGAAAAAATGGTTCGCGAAGAAGGACCGAGTCTAGAATGAATAAATTTGGTAGCAATTGCTAAAAATTTCGTATCTTTGAGAGCCGGTATGGTATGTGGTTTAATGTTGGTTTAATTTCATGCTTATCCGAGGAACTGATGTCAATTGGTGGAATAATTGTTGCCTCGTTTGATTTCAAAGCCTTGTAAGCATACTCGGAATTTAATTTGACCCTTTCTTTCCTATCACATTTCTCGATAGACACAGGATGAACATCATATGTGAGTAATGGTTGAAGCCTAGTGATAGACAAACAAAATCGGCATATCGCAAAGCGAGTGAAGTGAGCCAATATCGTATAAGGTGTATTTGGGGTCAAGTCCATTTCGAATTCCATTCGTTATATAAAAGGCCCGATGAAATTGTGCAACATTCAGAGTAGTACAAGTACATGCGACAGCACGAAACAGAAAGGATGTTGAGATTCGTATTTGCCGACCTTCAAAAAGGTGGGGAGAATTTCATTGGACGCTGCGGTATATGCGCATCTCGAAAAGTCGAGAAGATGGCACTGCAGATAGACGTTTTATGCCTCTGTTTCAGGAAATGGTGTTACTGTAACCTAGAGCACGAAACAAGGAGTTGAACAACAAAATCTCAGTCCCGACGGTTTGGTTCACCATTTGGAATTCGACATTTCGTGGCTTCTATATTGCAGTAAATTAATCATGTCCATGTGAAATTTTGGGATTTCGTTATGCATCATGCATGGCATCATTAGGATACTCGTGGAGTCTTGCTCTGGAGCTATGCATCAAACGAGGGGTATTTACTTCTAGAAGTTCCCATTGCGTAACTTTGCTTTTTGGATAAATCAATCCACCGTCCACTAGGCCAGATAAGATTGTGTGATGTTGCACGCTCAGCCGAGTCAAGCATTTTAGGATGAGATTTGCTTGTATCCAAAGTAAGATTGTGTCACATATGAGCCACATTTCGTAGAAGAGGAGTATAAAAATACGCCTGTAGGTCTTCTGCATAATACTGGCATCATAAAATTGAGTCTCTGCATGATTGACCGAGTATTGCGCCTTTCGATGGAGGCCCTTCTAACGGGCTGCTTCGCACATCGTAACTGTGCCGTGGAGGAAACACTTTGACCCCGCATTCTCTACGCTTAAGCTTGTTGACTAAGATGTAATGTACAGCGATATTCCACGTGATGGTGAATATTCCCATGGGGAAGTTGATGACGGGTAAGGCTGATTTTGGCGAGGACTTCCACGGTTGCCGGCCTTGGTTGAACGCAGGAACAATGAAAATTCTGGTGTCTCTTTGGAGATACACACGACATGCATATAATGGTCCCAAAGATGAAAGAGGGTAAGCCCCACGAAAATGTGGCGTCCCCATGGAGTAAACCAAAAGGTCTTCAGCTTCCCAAGGGGGTTGTGTATTCGGATTCCCAGATGGTTCAGAGGTAAGGATTGAAGAACCTTGTTGTGGCTCAAGCCATCTGTCCAGATCAGGCATTATTCGCGAGTATTCCTGTTTTCAAGCATATCACGCTTTTACTATCGCATCGTTTGGAGATTTTTTATATTCCGGCTCTTCGGTTAGGTTCTCCGTAAGAAAATAACTTAATAAGCGCTAATTCCTGTATGGGAGAGGCGGTACATTGTTGCAGCCAATCAATCATTTATTTTTAGCCCACACACCTTCCTTACTCGCCGATTCGCATAACAATACATGGAGCAAGCCAAGCTTACAGAGTAGAGCCCTTCCAAAGCTTCGAGAGAGGCACATTCTCACGTGTTGGTGGGATCCTGTCCATCTTCCACCTTTCTGGATATATATCTTGGCGCCTCCGTACAGAACCTTGTCCGTGGCACCTGTCATTGGTCATTTAGTGGCGTGAATCCTTGCTATACTATGCCTTAGTTTCGATAGTCAGTTCGCCGTTTTCTTCAATATATGAAAGAGCGTCAAGAGCTGCAAGCTGCACTGAAAAGCGAGAGGATTGTCCACTCAGATATACAGTGCTTGCCGGGTATGATTAGAAGCTTGCTGGTACATGCCGCATAATCGATTGAATCTGGGTGTCGGTAAACTCTCTTACCGTTCACTTAATTTATTGTGCCATGAAGCCTGCACCATGTCCCGCTAACATAAATTGCCCATCATAACGATAAAGTCGTGCTGATTGTTGGCCGAGTCACAAGCCCCAGGCGAAACCTGCTCTGTGTAGTTACTCCCGTGAATAATAACGGACCGACTCCCGTCAATAACTGCTAGAATATCCAGCACATTCTTAACTTTCCAAGAAACAAACTTTTTGGAATTTGAACCAGATAGACCCCCAAGAGTGGAAGGTAAAATTGCGATACCACCCACACGAAACCTGACGAGACTACGACGAGTATTCTTCCGGCAGTCGGCAAATTGATGCGGTAATTAGATCGGCTTCACGACAATAAACAATGTCATTGAAGCTTCCCTATCCAAACGTTTATAAATTTCTCAATAATTTTTCTGCCCCTGACCAAGGGTCTCCAGAACAAACATCGAGAAGTCAAGGACTCAGAAAAAGTGGTCCGAGATCAAAGACGGGCTGTTCAACATGCAAGTAAGTCGCGTTAGAGTTGTGGATCCACACCATTAGGATTTCTCCACCAGGAAATCTTTTACGGACAATCATCAGACCCGTAACTGACTAATACAATAAAGACAGCGACGTGTTAAATGCGACGAAACCAAACCACAATGTATCAGGTGTCAAAACCTCGGTCGGGCATGTGGTGGATACGCCCCGGAGCACGCTGAAGATGTCTCCAAACAGAATGCAAATGCTCTAGTACCTATCCATCCACGACCGATATCTGTGATGACATTGGCTCCTTCAGTCGCTATACTTGGTGACCAAGCCGAACGTCGATATTTCCAAAGGTTTTGTGATAAAACGGCTGCCGAGATTTGCGGTTCATTCGATCCTACCTTCTGGACAGAAAAGGTTCCTCAATTGTGTCAACAAGATGCGCCTATCAGATATGCGACTATTGCATTGGGTGCTCTAGCAAAATCCTTGGAGATCACATCTTCTCCGACTCGACTATCACTTTCGGGATTTCCCCAAATCGATCATCATCATTTAGATGAACACCATCGTTTCGCTTTGAGGGAGTACAGCAGAGCCATTGCTTCGTTGAGGATAATACTTTCGGACGGCAGAAGACATTTGAGAACATCCCTTACAGCATGCGTACTGTTTATGACATTTGAATCCCTTCAGGGAAGTTACGAAGGTGCTTTGACTCATCTCAGAGGGGGTTCTCGACTGTTGGCTGATTGGAGAATCGCTCGAAGAGGAGGAAGCTCTCGATTGTCGCATGATTCATTGTCGGAAATCCAAGATAGTTTAGTCGATGACTTGGGGCGGCTATTTGCTCGTCTTGATGTTCAAGGTCTTTTTGTTCCACCGCCATATCCCGTCCCAAACCTTCTTCAAGATGATATGGAGATTCCAGATGAGTTTGAAAGTGTCCAAGAAGCTCGAGAAGTTTGGGATTTCCTGATGGCTGCTATTGGTCAATTCTATCGAAAATCTGTCATGAAGTCGCAAACTGAACCAGAAGAATTATCGACTCCATATTGGAACAGGCTTCATACTCACTACACCACACAACTACTTCGATGGCGAAAAGCCTTTCAATCCGTCCATGTTGTAGAGGCACACACTGGAAGTATTTCTGCTGATGCAACCCATATGTTAAGCATCTACTACAACATCGCCACAATACTTGTTGCATCGAGTGTTCCACATACGGAGATGTTATATGACGCATATAACCATCTATTTGCGGAGATTATATGTAAGGCTCAGATCTTACTCTCCAGTTCGGATGATGCAAGTAATACATCTCGTTTTACTCTAGATATGGGAACAATCCTTCCGCTCGTGATCACTGCAGTAAAATGTCGTGATCGACGAATCCGACGTCAGGCCATAGCACTCCTTTGGTCTAAAGCGAGACGAGAAGGACTCTGCTTTGACACGATTAGCGTAGCAAGGATCTGCGCGTGGCTTTCGAGTATAGAGGGAGAAGGTATTCAGGAAGATGATCAACCAATCCCAGAATCATCCAGATGGGTAATTTCTTACCTACATTTGAATTCCGAAGAAAGATGGTTGGCGGTGCAATTGACGTCGAAACATGGGGAGGATGGAAATCCACGGTACAGAGAAACAACATTTTCTTGGTAAGTGATGGTCAGATCTCAAGAGTTAATTTTCATGGCATAGCGAGGACCTCAGAATGATTTTGGCAATGGCGTAGGGAAAGGCTACGGGGACACAGAAGTTATGGATGTTGCTAGACATCCTTTGAACACGGTGGGAAGTGCCAGCCTTCGCTTGATGAATCATGGCATATGGGAACAAAATAAAGGCGCCTCGTCCGACAACATTCCGTCAAACAGACTCCGCAGGGAGAAAAAGGAGTGAGTGATTTCGGATCTCTTTTTGGAGTAATGATATCTAACACAAGCTATGGAATCGGAAATCAGTATGGTGCTATGGAGTTTATGTCTGTTTTATCATTGGGGAGGAGAGGGCAAATACTCGAATTTGCCTGTGTATACTATCATGTAGTCTTATTTCCAGCAATATCATTCATTTCAAAGGTCAAGAAAAGCTGATTGTTGTTCTTGGCAAATTTCCTAAAGATTTTTTGAAGATATCTTCTGAGAATTGTGCATGGGAAATTCGAAAAATGGCATATTTCGAAGCAGATACATCCCGTTTGAACCTGACTTGTTAGCTTCAAGACAACCTTTTCAAAACTTAGATGAGTTGTGAGAGTTTTCACGGTTGATGACTAATGATGAGAACATAATGTGGTGTGTATGATGGCTGTGAAAACATTTTACATCGATATATACGAAAAGATACGATGTAAAGAAAAAGATATATTTCAACATGTATATGCAGGTACGCACTTCACACCACTTGTTGCATCCACTAGACAGTAGACCGATAATATGGAAGAAAAGTGATCAGCACACGTGATCTTATCTCTGTCGACCCCTCAATTTTGGCCTAATTCTGACAAATACTCCAATCTAATATCAGGCATCAATAAACATCAACAACAACTTTTCTCAATTCGTGCGCTAAACTACTTTTGGGTCACTAAAATTATTGCTTAAGCGAACAATCCCACACTTCCAAATTCTAATTATTTCGAACTTTCTTGATCTCCTAATCGTTCAACGCCCACCGACTTAGCCAACCACCACCTAACGATCAATTCGATATCAATATGGCTGACGCACCAAGAGGCGGCTCTCGAGGAGGTTTCGGCGACAGAGGCCGTGGAGGAGATCGCGGACGTGGACGTGGACGTGGACGTGGTCGCGGACGTGGAGGAAACAAGGACGAGGCAAAGGAATGGCAACCAGTTACCAAACTTGGCCGTCTCGTGAAGGATGGAAAGATCAATTCCATGGAGGAGATCTACCTTCACTCTTTGCCCATCAAGGAGTACCAAATTGTTGACTTCTTCTTGCCAAAGTTGAAGGATGAGGTTATGAAGGTATGCGAAATTTACACATAGTGCTCCTATGCGACTATGAAAATTCGGCAAATATGGATATTGATATGAATTTCGTCTACAGATCAAGCCTGTCCAAAAACAAACTCGTGCCGGTCAACGTACCAGATTCAAGGCCATCGTTGTCATCGGTGACTCTGAGGGGCACGTCGGTCTCGGTATCAAGACCTCCAAGGAAGTCGCAACTGCCATCCGTGCTGCTATCATCATCGCAAAGTTGTCCGTTGTTCCAATTAGAAGAGGTTACTGGGGTACCAACTTGGGTACTCCTCACTCTCTCCCAACCAAGGAGAGTGGAAAGTGTGGTTCCGTCTCTGTCAGAGTAAGTAAATTCTTAAAATTCTCTCATTCGACGACTTGCTAAATTTCTTCCTCTTTTCCAGCTTATTCCAGCTCCCCGTGGTACCGGTCTCGTAGCATCCCCAGCTGTCAAGCGTCTCCTCCAACTCGCAGGTGTCGAAGATGCATACACTTCCTCTTCCGGTTCGACCAAGACCCTCGAGAACACCTTGAAGGCTACTTTCGTCGCTGCTGCCAACACATACGGATACTTGACTCCCAACTTATGGAAGGAGACCAAGCTCATCAGAAGTCCTTTGGAGGAATTCGGTGATTCTCTCCGTGCTGGCAAGCGTTACTAGGTGTGTTAGTGGGCTTGTGAAAATGAATTCTTTAGTTTATGCATATGGGTTTATATGGGGTTAAAAGCTAGGGTCTATAGCTATGTCTCAATGAACTGATTGCCTTCATTTTGATTGAAATGCTACTGTGATTGTTCTATAATATGAAGTATGGAAGTAAGGCGCAAACAGAGTAAAGAATTTTGACTAGGAAGGTGGGAATAGCAGGTATGGAGGGTTCTTCCGGGTATACACCAACTGGGAAGGAGTTCCTATGAATCTGGAAATTGGGGCGGCATTAGTCGGCAGCTGAGGAAGGAACCGTCCGTTCAAACCCAACAATAAGAAAACCCGTCTCATTCATCTTCTCTTCTTCCTTTTCTCTTCAACTTCTTCAATACAACTCTTTCGCTCGATGCAATTTTGGTAAATTTTGGTCTCCGTCTCTGCACCCTTCACTTCTGCACATACATTGATGCAATTTTGGTCTTTGATACAGCCATTAACTTCGTTTTACTTGCTTCAAGCATTTTCGTTCTTTCCAAAATCTCTTTTCTCGTTGAAATAATGCCGTCACGTCGATTCGGGCGACCAGCGATGGTCGTTGCTACACTTATTGCATTTTCAGTTCTCACACTTGTATTCATTGGAGAGGGGTTGAAAGCATTTGTCCATAGGGATGGTGTTAGCTTGGGAAAAAGAGATATTACTTTCGGTCTGAATTGGCAGTAAGGATCTCTCATTCCTATCTTTTGCTCGAGCTAACAATACTCCATAGAACAACGATCTTTACACCGTCCACTGGAAGAAGTGAGATATCGGCATTGAATTATTGCTCGCCTGACCCATTGAACACTCCAATACCTCTCATCATCAACGACATACAATCCGAAAATGTAGCTGCGGAGAAGGGATCTACCACAGTTTCTGCCATTCTTGCCCAAGGAACCAATACAGTCTCATTTGCCGTTCAAGGAAGATCTGATATGGTTTCAGTTATCTTGGCGAATATCAACAGCTTAGTGACACACCCTACTGGTGTTAGTAACACTGCTCGTGATGCCACAGGACTACTTGCTATTGCCATGGCGAAGTCTAAACCAAGTATCCCAAGCATGGCTATATCGTCAACCGCCACACCTACTGATCTTCATTCTCTTGCTGCTTTCGAATTGTTGAGGAAAGCAGTTGCATATAACTCTCACCACGATCCTCACGGCGAGTCTTGTGATTGTTCGGCATGCGTCTCTTCCATACCAATAACAATAGCGCCTCCTCTTCCAACACATGAGTTGATGGCCAGAGCTTTCTTGGCTAGAGCCGAAACTGTTACCGTTACTGTCTCGTATGTAACTGTACTCATATGATTATATGCTCTCATTCTAACTTTTTCTAAGGGCATGCCCAGACTCGGCGTCAACGCCGTCAAATTCGACGGGATCAGGTCCCCAGAGTCCTGCATCGGCTCCCGAAAGTCCGAACTCAACATCATCAGGACCCCAAAGTCCCTCATCTGCATCAAACTCGACATCTTCAGGACCCAAGAACCCCGCATCAGAGAACCCAAATGCAACGTCGCCTTCTAGACCAAACCCTCCTTTCTCTAATGGTACAGAAACTGGTTCTGGAGGAGCGCCTGCCGGCTCGGGATCTGCTGGTTCAAGCAGTGGTGGTTCAGGTGCTGGTGGTTCAAACGCTGGTGGTTCAAACGCTGGTGGTTCAAACGCTGGTGGTTCAGGTTCCGGTGGTTCAGGTTCTGGTGGTTCAGGTTCTGGTGGTTCAGGTTCTGGTGGTTCAGGTTCTGGTGGTTCAGGTTCTGGTGGTTCAAACGCTGGTGGTTCAGGTTCCGGTGGTTCAGGTTCTGGTGGTTCAAACGCTGGTGGTTCAGGTTCCGGTGGTTCAGGTTCCGGTGGTTCAAACTCTGGTGGTTCAGGCGCAGGTAGTGCTGCATCTGCGTCAGGGGCTGTGGCTAGTGCTGCTTCATTATTCTCAGGCAACTCTACACAGTAAGTCATCCATGCTTAGTATGATGATGCAAAGACTAATACAAAATCAGGCCAACTGGTAACGCTCAACCAAGCAATAATGCAAACAAACCTTCAAGCACCAGCAAATCTAAGCCGGCCGAAAACACCCCTCCTGTATCATCTTCCAGCATCAGTCCACCGATTGCCAGTCAAGCATCTGCCGCGTCAAGTGGTATCGACAAAAGCATCTTTACACTCATCACTCCAGCTCTTTCAAATGTTTTCTACATATTCTCGACAATTGCGCCTGTCGCTGGCATGGTTATCATGGGTCAAATATGGCTTCTATGATTGCAGTTGAACGATTCCGACAGCGCTCTAATCAAATGGCGCATGGATATCTTATCTCATAAGTGTTTATAATAGGAATTAATCAATACATGACTCTTGTATTTATAGTGATAGTGGTATTATCCACAAGGTATTGTGATGATAAATGGATTTTTTGGAACAAAGTAATGGTAGTTTATGATTAATAGTTCATGATTAATAGATGAAAAGAAGGTTGAGGATAGATGTTATTCTTGATAATTGAATACTTGAGTGATAAGATGATGTAAAAGGAGATGTTGATGTGTACTGTTTGTGACTCGACTTAATACTAAAGGAAATGATTAGATTCTTTAACGATAATAGTGCTTCTAGGCTTTGCTTTATCGATGAGGTCGGTTCTGTGATGCATGATGGGTCTTTTGCGCTTTTGACTACAGAATCTTGTTCACTGCGTGTTAATAACATACTTTCCATCCATTAGAAATTGAAAGGATCAACTTTCTGACTAAATCCGGCCACGTGTGGCTTAAAATTAGATTCATGATGTTCAGCCACAGTTATCACCCTTCACATTAAGGTTATTGGTTGAAGGCTTTGGTTCGGTGGAGCTCTGCACTGACTTCAATTAAAGCTAGCTCTGCCGTCCATTCATGTCCATTCATCTTCATCAACCTACAACACAACTACCATTGGAAATGAAATGCTATCCACATCATGAACTGTACGGAGGTTTCCAGGGATAAACCAACGATTGAATCCTTTCACTGCCTGCGCAGAGGGAGGTCATCATGCAAAAGCTGCTCGATTGATAAGGGATCGTCGAGCTCCTCCAATCCTAGAATCCAGGATAATTTAGAGACTTGAAACTAACTTTCCCGGCTTCGCGTGTTTCCGTGATCTACAGAGAGAATGTTTCCCGCTCTGATCATCTTCAACATGGTAGGTATAGGCACTAACCACATTTCCTTGGTTTCCTCTGTTGTCAATTGCGGTACATCGTATATGAACCCTTCCTGCTGCAATGCGTTCAGGACTTCAGATCTCGGGTCATATTGCTTTTTGAGTCTTTGCTATGGCAATCAATGATGCTTCTACTATGACAATGTTCCCCTCTTTCTCGAGCTTGCAGAGTTATAGTATCAGCAGCTTCCCAATTGCAATCACTTTGATTCTATGCGTTGCGTTGATGATACTTTTTGGTAGGTATGGTCGTAAGGATGAGGAGTGCACGACTGGGACTGAACCTCCCGAGGTCAAGTCAAGGATTCCACTATTTGGACATTTAATTGGTATGCTGAAGGGGCAAGTTGGATATTTTCAGACCCTAAGGTATGGACATTGGAATGCTGTCATCAAGTCTGCCGTTGTACTCCTTGATTTTGATATGAAGCGATCCACCCCCTACGAGCCTTCACTTACAATCTCCACTACAGTTTCAAATATCCTCTTTATCCAGTATTTACGCTTAAAATATTTGCCGCACGTGTTTATGTTGTCTGCGAACCTTCTCTAATTCAGGCTGCATATCGAAATACGAAGGCCTTTGATTTTACCACATTCGTCGTTGATTCTTCGAAACGTGCATTCAATATCGGTGAAAATGGGATGAAAATAATTCGCGGGGAAACTTCGCCGGATTATGATCCCAAAGGGCTGCCTTTAAATGGGAATAACGGGAGGTCGTACCTGAACGAGAATCATGGATTGATGGTAGAATATCTAGGACCTGGTGAGAGCCTACTAGAATTGAACAAAGGAGTTTTAGGTGCCGTTGCCGAATTTTTGAACGAGCTTGGTCAGAATCCTGGTAAATTAAGCCTCTATAAATGGATGAGAGATACTCTCACATTAGCTACTTCTGCATCTCTCTATGGACCTCACGATCCCGTGAGTGCCAATCACAGGCTCATAGATTCTCTCTGGTTAGCAATTATATCTCCGCACATGGTTTCCAATAGTCCGGACTGAAATCCTACAACGAGTTGGTTTGACATACTGCGTTCTCGTGTGTTGATTCATTCCATATATTCTACTCATTTTTACTCTCAATCCACTGGGAATAATGAATGTATGTCGAGTATCATTCTCAAATCTACTAGTCCGGGCTATTGGACACCTGCCCCAGACTTGAAGATTAGTGCTAATCTGATCAGGGATTTCGAGGAGAATATGACGATGCTTATGCTTGAGTTTCTTCCTACTTTTATTTGCCCTGAAGCTTATCACGGACGCGCAGCCGTCAAAACTGCCTTTGCATCATATTATGCTTCCTCTCATCATACCATTGCCAGTAACCTCATCAAGTCTCGACTAGATTGCTCCCAAAAGTGGGGCCTTACAGCTGAGGAAATCGCGAATATCGAAATATCCACTCTTTTCCTTGCGACAACCAATTCAGCGCCAACATCTTTCTGGCTACTTGTGAACATACTTTCGGATCCGTCTTTGGTTTCTTCCATTCGAACTGAAGTATCCAATATTATATCAAAACAGACAGCGGATAATGGAATAGAAGAATGTGTCATGGATATTACACTATTTCAATCCAGCTGTCCTATATTGATGTCCTGCTTTCGAGAGACACTTCGTTTTGTTGATGCAGCAACCTCTGTTCGATCTGTTACCAAGGATGTCCTTCTCACATCGTCAACCTCTCAATCTTCGTTTTTACTCAAGGCTGGCAACGTCATACAACTTCCTTCTGGCGTCACCCACAACTCGCCATCAATCTGGGGACCAAATGTTGATTCATTCGATCCATATCGCTTCCTACCAAGTACTATCGCAAAGCTAAGCAAGGAGCAGAAGAAACAGCAAGCACAGGGATATTTCCCTTTTGGAGGCGGCAAACATCTATGTCCAGGAAGACATTTTGCCACAACTGAAATTCTTTCGCTTGTCTCCGCTATTATCATGGGATGTGAAGTTGAGGGCGCCAGTGTGCCAGAGAGAGCTTTTCAAAAGTTAGGTACAGCGGTTAGGAAACCAAAGAATGATGTTGAAGTCAGTATCAAGAGGAGAGAAGGTTGGGAAAATGTCAAATGGAGATTCGATGTACAGGGTAAAGTTGATTTTGAGGCTTTGGTAGGCGAGAAAAATGATGGTTGATCTAATGCATGTTTTGAGTTGGAAGGTTTCCTTGCTATGTATAGAGGTATCTCATCGATTTGAGCAAGGTTGATAACAGCCATCGTCTGCGCGATATTCTGGACTATAATCCGACAAGTCCGTCTGGCAATTAGATCCATTTCATAAATGGAATATTTGAAATGTCTGGTATATTCAAATCATAAGGTTAATCCATAGATTTTTGAACTTTGATGTGTTTCTATCTTACGGGGCTCGAGATCAATGGTCAAGATATTTATCACTCAAGGGAATGGTTTTGCTTGCCTGACCGGTTCTGATGTTTCTTTGACCTATTAGTAAATAAAGGTGCCCAAAGAACAATTCCTGAAGCAATTTGATCTCTTGTTCCGTTCCGCGATTGTAGTGGCTTTTCGCGTGCCGTTTATATACCATCTACACTTTTAACATCAACCATGCACTCTCCTCCTATTTTAGCTTGTGTTAGTGTTTGAATGTCGGGAGCCCTATTTTTGATGCGCGAATTCCAGTGAATAATGTAGATGGGGTGTTGTTTTTGTCCGTCTTTCGACAACATATTTCAGGATACTCCTTCGAGAACCTTTAGTTTACCTCTTTGTCTCCCCCAACACAATCTAAACCGGTATTTTTGAGTTGCTTTACGTTGCTTTGAGAACTTCTGCCCGCTGCTTTTTCTTTTCAATATACCCTTCAAAGGTCGCTCATTCTCAGGGTAGCAAAGCCTTGCAAATGCGTTCTCAGAAGCTTAGCGCCTTCGCCGGTATTCTTGGACTGCTTGGAATGGCCCGTTTCGTAACAGCTGGGGTGGTATTTATTGAGCCGTATGCTAAAATTGTCCACGCAAGCATCACCTAGATTTCCGTTCAAACTACCAAACTCTGCAAACTAACATGGAGCCTCAGTTCCGAGCAACAGTAATCGTACCCAGAGCACCAACTGTCGTTCAAGCCACTGGAATTCAATCCTTCTGGCCTGCGCTCGAACCCGCGAGCAGCGATGCTATCCTACAAATAGTATTCGCCAATGAGGGGAAGGTATTAGGTCAGTGGTCATTCTTTGAGTATTTCCAAGATGGAATTGCATCTACTGGAGGTGAAAGGGTTCATGGGAAGAATATTAATGTGTATCCGGGGGATTTGATCTCGAATGGTTTTATCTCGACGGACGAAAACGAAATGTGGACAGGCGCGATAAACGCTCATAAATGGTATGTGAATTGGATTGTGAGGAGAGGCGCCGAGGGACTAGCGAAGGGTGAGATAGATGGCGAGGGTAATGCTACGGTAGATCTTTCAGCGCATGGTAGGTTGGCTCTTCTATTCGTCGATAAATGTAGGCGTACTTTGGTTAACACAAAACTTCAGCCGACATGGGAGACTTCACGCAAGTACGTACCGTCTGCATTTTCCTTTACTACTCTTCTATGCTCCAACTCAACTTTATTCCCGAGTCAATTAACATGCCCCAGGCTATTCTTGCAACTGAGCTCAGCCGTGCGGCAAAGTGGGAGATGGGTCCTATAGATTGGCAAAATGTTATGATCCAAATCGAAGGTACGAGTAGAGACTGGTGCAGTGTCGATAAGCTTATTCTCCTCAACGTTACACTTGGTAACGTGCAAGCCGTCGATTTACTTCCAACGACTAAAGGGGCTACGTGCTTCTTCAAAGGTTTTACGGTTACGGATACCATAGCAACCGAGGAGGGTTTGGGACTCTAAGTGGGTATATATTCTCCGCGCCTCGCAATTGACCTGCCGGTTCTGCTGCTGAACGTATGAAGAAAGTTCCTCATTTATCGCTGACGGGTTTTGAACATGGAAGTAAACGGGGTGGATGACGTCTTAACAGTTTAGTTGAATGCATTCTGTTTTACTCCCTAAAATCCAACTCCAAAGTACTCAGATATCACAGTCACGATTGCCCGGCGCATTAAGACGCATGCAAATTGTTTAACTTGGACATGTCACACGCGCTCTTGATACAAAATCTCATATCCTTTGCGAGAAGGGACGTAGATTTCCGTTGGCTGGGTATTCACTTATGGGATTACCTAGGGTGGAGATATGTTTTTAATCTTAGACTATGACTACATTTAGTATCTAGGTAAGATTGAGCCGCTCTACATGTTATTAGCAATTAGCAAAGCACCATCTGATACATTAGTTAGATTGCCTTGCAAGACGTGAGAGGGATACAGAATACAGATAGGCGCTTAGTTTATTGGGAGCTCACTCATTCGCAATCTTATTCCGTTAATATGTCCGGGAAAGAAATCATTTAGAGCTGGCGTTAAGTGAATGAATCAGATTAAGTGGATAAATTGCTTGCTGACGGAGCGATACATTCATGCGGGTGGGTTGGCTGGGGATGTGTTGAGGATTATGTTTGTAAGATTACAATATGCAAAGTTACAGAAGTACATGTATAAACGTCTATGTGTGTGTGCAAGTTGATATACGATATATTGGATACATAGGTTGGACTGTAAGATTGAGCTTCGCATAGGCTGCAACTAGGTAGCAAGAGGTTTCATACATCAGTCACCTAGGACTCAGAAATCGTGCGGAATTACGCAAGGAGGGTTCCATTGGTTCTTCGCACTGCGTGTCATCTACATTTTTGGATTGGTTATTGTTACTTTGTTCTTCTCATCATGCATTGCTCTATCACTCCTCTTATTTTGCTTGTATTGGCTCTTACTCTTATTGACCACGCGAATGCGGGCGCCGTATTCATCTTCACTTATGGTGGGAAAATCACACGCGTATGTATCCTCCTTCCCTTGTTACATCTGTCCTCCCATTCTCCTTTTCTCATCAACCCCCGAGTATCCCTACATCTAACCTCCCATCTCATAGTTCGAAGCAACCCTGCACGTTCCATCCCCTCCAACCGCACTACAGGGTCATGGACCAGAATGGAAAGTCCAAGCCACATGGGCGGGCATGCAACCCACGGATCAAAGTTGTGTTTTGCAGAATGTGGTTGGGAATGCGGGGGAGGAAGTGGGTCATTGGAGTCATGTGCCTAGTTTTTATGATGGGGCGACGAAACCGAGTTGGAGTGAGGTTTATTTTGAGGAGGTGCAGCCGGAGGGTAAGTTCTCCTTGTAATTTTGAAGGGATGAGTTTGATAAGGTGGGGAGGGTGGCCGGATATGTGTCTCGCTGTGGAGTTTTGATTGTTGGATGTTGGATGTTGGATGTTGGGATAGGGATTAGAGACGGAGATTAATAGTTGGATGAACAGTATATCCAGGCGATGAAATAACAAGTATTTGGGCTCTTGACGAAAGTTCCAACAAATGGCTGGATACATGGTCCGTGATGCCCGGTAAGATCGGCGCATCAAAAGGAGAAGTTCCTTATAGTGGAAACTACACTTTCGATGGCTCCAAATTTAGTATGTTAGTCATTTTCCAGGTATCTTTTAGCGTTGCTGACATCTCATCAGATCCTAAAGTCCCAGATATGGCGGAGGTAAATTCGATTTTCCATTTGCGATCTTGAAAGTCGAAGGTTAACATTAATATATAGGTCTTGCTAATGATCGAGCATGTGGGAATTGGCGGTGGTCCAGACCCTGGTTGGGGTTCTGGAGCCGTCACGTTCACAAATATCCTAATCGAATCGGTTTCGACGCAAGATTGGTGTAATCATGAGAACTCGGAGACTTGGCATCCACAAGATCTCAAGGTTATGGATGTTTCTACCCCATTCATTTCGACGGTTAGGAATGGAAAGAAAATTTGTCGTATTGCTCGGTTTGTTATTGATTTGAATTGAAGTCGCGGGGATGGATTCTAGGAAATTATGGGGATTTGTGAAAGCTGAGCAATAGAACTTGGGCTGGATCCTTAGTTTCGGGTACTCCTGCGTGGAATGTAGAGGTGAAATGGGTTTTCCTGCATACATCAGTATAAGGAAAAAGATATTTTAAAGTCCGTTAATACCAGGGTATCCAATAGTCCGAACTGCAGTCCAATGATGAAAAGCTTTGGATTCCTGAATTTATTTGGGATATTGAATTTGAGATATTGAGTTTATTTGGGACATTGAAAATTCTATTCAACCATTGAATTGTATTCAAACATTGCAAAGAATTCTTATTGAAAGCGTAAATCCAGACCGTCAGTCTGGATTATTGGACACCCTGTCTGTTACTCCATATATCATGCCTTTGAACTTCAAGACGATTCTAATATAATGAATGCGCTACTCCAACTAATCAATCCTAGAAAAAAGAGATTGAGATCCACCTACAGGCCTTATAAACAGTTGAAGTACTAGCGCCCGATCATAGAGATATAAATCCCAGAGAATTATTCCATGCTTTTGTTGTCCTGGGTCAAATTGAGGCTCCAAAGCCCTGTTATTACACAGGGAGGGGAAAGAGCACCCCTTTTCTTGTGGACTGCATGATACGGAACTCCAGCCATGGGCGGTTGGGACATCAAGTACTGCGATGTTTGGTGTGGTATAACTAATATTAGCTATCCAGCTGAGTTCAGAAGAGCACTTGAAGGGGTTTTGAGAGCTCTCTTGAGCAGAATCTTAGAGCTAAGATCAATGGGTTGCAGTAACAGTAGATGGAAAGGTAAGAGTGGACATGGGCGCAAGCACATACATCTCTAAACTATATCCATATATCCGAGGACAGCATGATGTAGATGAAGATAAAATACCAGCTGCAGGCACTTGCTCTAGCTGCCAACATTGCTCGAGAGAAGGGTCAGACTTGATTGTGCTAAAATAAACAAATATCTTTGAAATAGACTTATTATCCCAGAAATCGGTTGATTGGTACCCATTTAATGAACAGACATCTACGTAGGTAGTTTGAGACTTCCAGGAAAATGTATGAAGGGGAAAGTAAATTATATCACGTGTCAAAGATATCTCCACCGCCTACCATTAATGCACGAGCCACTCAGTATTCACGGCAAAAAACTTCTTGAGCTTTTTTTATTTTTTCTCTTGTGAATTGAATGAGAAGTCAACATCAAACCGGCGCAATGGATATCCACCGCTGCAGATTCGTTCCATACCCTCCGTCAACAATCAATGCATTAGCCTTCACACACTCAAAGTTGACAAAAGGTCAATCTGCCGTTTCCCCACGATTAGCCCTCGGTCGCGCAAACGGTGATATCGAGCTCTGGAACCCGCAAAGAGGATCATGGCTTCAAGAGACAATTATTCGGGGTGGAAAGGATCGTAGTATTGATGGACTAGTTTGGACTCAAGATCCTAATGAAGATGTTAATGGCACGAAAATAATTGGGAAGTCCAGGCTCTTCAGCATCGGATATACTACAACTGTTACTGAGTGGGATTTGGTGAAAGGCCAACCATTACGTTCGGCAAGTGGAAACCATGGAGAGATATGGTGTCTTGCTGCCCAGCCCGCAGAAGAACTGAAAGCTGGAGAGGAACCTTCTGGAGAATGTCAAAAACTCATTGCTGGTTGTGTTGACGGAGCTTTGGTTTTATACTCCACAGCGGATGAAGATTTGCAATTACAAAAAGTTCTTGTTCGCCCATCCGCGAAAAAAGCAAAGATTGTTAGTGTTGTCTTCCAGGATCGCTATCATGTTATTGCAGGATGTTCAGATAGCAATATCCGAGTTTATGATATACGAACTGGATCAATGGTAAGACAGATGTCTTTGGGAGCTGGACCTAAAGGGGGACCCAAGGATATCATTGTTTGGGCTGTCAAAGCATTACCAAATGGAGATATAATATCTGGCGACTCAACGGGAGAAATCAAAATATGGCAGGGCAAAACATACAGTATGATGCAGCACATTAAAAGCCATACCCAAGACGTTCTCAGCCTTGCAACAAGCTCTGATGGGATGTCAATCTTCAGTGGTGGTATGGATAGACGGACTGTCGTCTACAAACAAATAAAAGGGAAGAAGAGATGGTCAGAAGTTAGGCACAGGAGATTTCATAGCCACGATGTTAAGGCTATGGCAAGCTTGGAATGTCAGGGAATCAGTGTTGTGGTTTCCGGAGGTAAGCAGATCTTCCGCTAATGTCCTTTCCATAAGCTAATTTTCATTTGCAGGTCCCGATGCTGCTCCTACTGTTCTGCCACTTGCGCATTCCGGTCAAGAGAACCAACGTGCCTTGCCATTCCTCCCTCAACCATCCATTATTCAAAGTTCTACAAGAAAGAGATTGTTGATGAGCTGGTGGGATAGAGAAATAAATATCTGGCGCATAAACAAACTTTCGGATTCGATCAACGGCGATGAATCAGAGCCCGCGGCTGTCAATCGCAAATTGGTAGCAAAGATACTAATCAAGGGAGAGTCTAACATCACATCAGCGACTTTAAATGCCGGAGGAAACCTGCTCGCTGTTTCAACAGTAGCAGATATAAAGCTATTCCGTCTCAAGGCACGGAAACCAGAAGAGGGTGAGGGTCTCAAGGTATCGATCGTCACTGTACCGCATGCCTTTTCTTCTGGGGCGCGTTTGATTCAGTTTTCTCCGGATGGGAACTGGTTATCGGTAATTCGCGATGATAGCTCGGTTGCCGTGGCACGAGTCATTCAGGACAATGCCTCACCATCATCCTTCAGTATAATACCTCGGCTCTCCAGACTTTCTCGTCTTGATCGCAACATCTCAAAAGCCAAGCTTCTAGGTGGTCTTGGTGCATATGAAAGAACTGTCACTCAAGTAGCATTTTCATGTGATAGCAGAATTTTAGTAGTTAGTGATTTGGCAGGTTTTGTTGATACTTGGGTTTTAGAAGGAATCGAAGATCTCACACAAGAATTGGAGGAAACGCAGGAAGATGACGCATCTGATGATGAATCTGATGATGGCTCCGATCTCGAAGAAGAGAAGAAGCCAAAATTAGTTTTCGGCCAACATTGGACACGAAATCCTTCTGCCACTCGTTTACCAAAACTTCCCGCCGCTCCGGTTGTACTATCATTCCGCCCTTCAACTCGCCCGGCACTAATCAACGGAGCCACCCCTCCTGCTACACGCAATAATCCTCGTCCTGTATCTCACGAACTACCTGTCGCCGAGGACCGTTTAGTCATTGTCACATCCACTAATGAGGTTTTTGAGTTCGAAGTTCTCGCTGGTTCACTCACACCTTGGTCTCGTAGAAATCCTACCTCTACATTTCCACTTGCTTTCCGCCAAGTCATAGATTTGGCAAGAGGTTGCATATGGGATATTTCTAATGGTCGAGAACGTATGTGGATACATGGTGTTGGCTGGCTATGGATGTTCGATCTGTCACAAGACTTCCATTTTGAAGATGAGGAAGCAGAGGAGGATGGAGATTTCGAGACCTCGGGAAGCAAACGCAAACGCTTTCAATTAGGGAAATCTGGAGCAGGAGGTGTGGTCGACCCAGAAGAGAACGAGACAGGCATGTCCCGTAAAATTCGCAAACTCATTCACGAGGAGGAGACGCACGAGACGGAAGTTGATGTAGAAGATAACAAATATCAAATGAATGTTGATTCGGACAATAATGAGATTGGCAAGGAATTGAAGTCACTACTCAGGGAACGGTGGGAAAAAGGCGAAGATGAGAAATTTGGGGGACCGGCACAAACTTACAAAACATTTAAGTACCGGCCTATACTTGGTATGGTAGAGATAGGAGAGGGAGGAGAAGGTGGTCCGGAGGTGGCAATTGTAGAGAGACCGATCTGGGAAACTGACTTGCCAATGAGACTGGAGGGTGACCAGGAGTGGGAAAAGAAATCGTTGTATTGAGGAAGGATGGAGGTATTAGATAGGTAATATGATTTTTGACGAGGGCTAAAGAAGCGTACAACTGATGCATATGGATGGGTATGGCGTTCTGGAGCTAGGATGCAATGGATTGTTCAAAAGCAAAAAGTGTCTAGCTGAATATGGACACAGGGATTCTAGAGAGATGTATGTGTATACTCAAGAGATAGCAGAGCATATTGCTGATACCATTTTAAAATACATATGTCTGTTGGGTTACATCTCATTTGTGAATTTTCTCCTTCTTAATTAGTGTGAGGTCGCTGAGTTTCTCAGGTGCTGCAACCCATGATCCAGCTACTCATAATCTATGAATCGCCCTTCAAGCATTTTAATTCCCTTTTCGCTTAACCCACTTGCATAGTTTTATGAATTAATAAATCATCAAATGGCTTGTCACACATATGCTCGCTCTGTACCCCTTTTCTGAAAAGCTAGTCATCAAATCGAGGACAAATTGCCAGTATCATACAAAGGGCAAAAGCACCCCATCAAGCCCCTAAGTCTAGTACCCCACTTTTGGACCACCCTTTTACACCAAAATTGATGACTTTCTTTTGTCTATAGATGATTTTGAAATTTTGCTTCTCGGCTCGCCGACACCAAAAGCTTGCTGTATGCACCCGTGTATCACAATTTACTCAATATAGATTATTAAAAATAACAAACTTGTTTAAATAAATCACAATCCTAAGAATCTAATTGGTCTAAAATACGCTTATCAAAAATCTAACAAAAAGCTTAGTGTAAACTTTACAATCTTAAACAAATTTAATTTAAAACTTTTTTCAATTTAATTTATTTAATTTATTCAATTCATTTAATAAAATTACAAAAATCAGAAACTTTTAGAATTTGTTAATATTTATATAATAAATCTCTAATTAAAATTTCAATTAGTTTTATTTATTTATTATTGAATTATTAATAAATAAAAAATTTATTTTAATATAAAAATAATCAAAAATTAAAATATTAAATTTATTAATTATATATTAATTATATATTAGTTATATATTAGTTATATACTAACTCTAAACTAGTACATATAAAAAATAGACTGAGTCAATCCCCCACACTCTTTAGTCTTCCAAGTTTCCAGATCACGAGTTCATTTTTTCTCTGTAGCGGCGTACTTAATAAGAGATCTATGTATAGTCCTCCGAGTATTCTTTAGACAAATTTACGTCCAAATTAAATGTCTAAAACCGACATTCCACCTCTCCAAGATGAAGCTATCCCAATATATCATGGCCAGGATTGGCGCATCAAAATCTTCAAAACATCGGGACAATCCCTACCACAGTATCGAATCTGCCGTTCTTCTTTCTTGACCAGACGAGCCTCTCCGACATTTAACCACCCTCGAGTCAACTGCGCTTGTATCTCCTCATATAGCATCGGTAGTTGAATCACTCACCAAACCACTTTTGGAGCCACCAACGGTCGAATCACCTGCCCTCAAATCATCAGTCCTTCGAAATGTGCCAAACGAAATTCTGCTGAACATCGTCGAATTTCTACCAGTCGAGTCGACAATTTCTTTATCTCTTTCTTGTCGACGCATGTACATCATTTTTGGAACCCAATACATCAAGGCCTTAAGGAGGACGAGCAAAAGAAGAATCTCCCCTTACTATAAGTTTCTGAAGCTTTTGGAGCGAGACCTTCCACATCATATTACATGTAATGGAAAGGGCTAACAATATCCTTAATTCCATGTGTTACTTGGATGATGATTCCCTCAATCTTGGAGAATGGTATTTGGAATTCAACAATTTCCAGAGAGCCATGAAACTTTACTATCAAGGCCGGAATTTTTCACTACTAAACATTCTGTTTAATGATACCCAAACTGAACTGGGTGTTCTTACTCACTGCGCACAACAACGAAAAGTAGTCGTGCGAATTGTGGAAACAACTCGTACCTTTATACTTCGCGAACAAATGATATATTTGATTCCAGCAGCTAAACCGCCTTCAACATCTAATGTAATTTCTTGGTACCCTGATATATGCGCTCATTTTCCTTTTGAATTTGAATACAATTTTCGAGAACGCCGCCTTCGATATCAGGCCGACGATGCTGAAGATTTTGAATGGTACAAAATTGTCTGGGGCACCTTCACAAGTTGTAAATACTGCATGACTGAATTTCGAGTCGACACCATGGATATGGGAGAGGAGGGCGAAGCATTTGTTGTTACGAGATGGCAAAACTTGGGACAAGCTCAGTCGCCTTTGGATGAAAATTAGGTGAGAGCTAATGCAAGACCATTATACCGTTGGAATCATAAATCGATTGAATATGACGAGGGATCAATATGTACAGCGTTTGAAGAAGAGCATTATTCGAACTTTGAGTTCAATGTTTATATTACCGACAGGGATTGGGAAGAACTTTTGAATTGTCGTTACCGGAGGAAGAAAAAGGCTAGGACTAGGAGAGTTTGATTTGAAATAAAGCAAAATTCTTGTATATATATGTTGGTCGTTACAATTTCGGCACTTCTACCCCTATTTAGAATTTTCGGGAATCACGTCTAATGGACTTCGGGAGTCTTGTTATAGCTATAACTTAAGAGTACGATCTTAAACAAAGGCGAAGTAGGATCAAGTCACCTATAATCTCGATGGATATCGAAACATTTGTTGTTGATATTTTTTTTTACATACATCTAGCTAAATTACCAGATATCTATATAAATAAACTCTGGCATCTTTATATATCGAGAACCGTAGTCATTATAATATAAATCTGTATTATCTCATTATTCACTTCACTATTTCTTGGCATATAATAACAGATGAGCTTTCACTCTGAGCTAAAACTTAGACTAATAGAAGTACTCGCTGTGATCCTATCAGTTTTGATCTTCTTCAATTAAGATTTTTGATCTATGTTTGATATCCTTTACAATTATCGTATAGGATCTTTACTTTACCGAGCTTTCCAAGTTTAGATAGCTTCCACTTCACCATTGCTCTTGATACAAGTTCATTCTCCTTGTAACTTATTTAATGCATTTTCCTATTATATACATGTATTCAAGTAGTATAAGAAGACCAATTTATGAAGCTGAAACAAGGTGTCAATACGACTCAATAGGTCTCAGAGGATATACAGATATTGAAGTAATATTGTACTACACACCATATTATAAGAAGTGGGTTGAAATATCAATCCATACTACATCACATGGATTTGACCTCTCTCTATTATTTATATTTAGGAGGAACAGGTGGGTGAATGATAGAATAGAAGAATAAGCCTTGAAAGGACAATCAAAATTAACAAGATGCAGACTAATCAAAGATTCATACATCATGTTCCTATAATCATCTCACCAAACATTCCGTACAAGATTGTATTCATAATAGGAAATTACATTCTTAGTTCCGGTTGAGGCTTATCTCACTCACTAGATCTATCCAACTTTCATGCTTCCAGACTCTAAGTCCATTCGAGAGTTCCGATGACCAGGTGACCAACAAACAACAAACAATCAACCACAAACCACAAACCACAATTACACGTGGATACAGTGGAGGAGAGGCCCGTGGTGGCGGGTCTGGCCCTGGGCTGGTTTGCGGGTTTGAGGAATGAGATAATAAGATTTACACTCCAGTCATTCCATCCCGTGGAAGAATGGAATAATGTGATTCGGTTTAGCACCAGCCCCTAGCGGTAAAACCCTCACAGTAAGCAAACTCCGGTGAAGATGAACAAGTAGTGCAACTATGCCATACAAGAACTACTATACATCGGGCCTCGCGTCGCAACTCTGCTCACTGGAGCCTTGCGTTATACGTCTTGCATCTGTCGCGGGTGAGCTAGTATGATGCGAAAAGTGGAAAGCTGCAGATTGAAATAAGGTTATTGAAATATGCGTGCGTGTGTACGTGTACTTTACGAATCACGCCCACACAATAGCATCTGACGAGCAAATTTTGAGGAGACTTTAAGGTTAATACAATTTTTATGCATGTGAGATATCTCCATGAGGTTAATCATGTCCAAGGGTCTAGAGGGAGGACATCAGAGAAATATGTAAGTGTTGTGATGATGATGCTTGATGATGATGTGTTTACTAAACTTTGGGTTGAAGAGGAGAAACAATATTTGAGAATATGAAAGTAGACAGCAAGAATATACCATATCTTTGTCTATTATATCAAATCCACCACGATCCACAAGGCGACGTAATAGATGACCTTACACAATATCGAGACATTGAGCCCAAGTGTTCATCTGTGCACCATTTCCACTAAAATGACCCTCAATGGTAGGCGTGTGACGAAAACAAAGCAAGATGTAGACACCTCGAATTGCCAGCACTTCAGGTTTTGCTTGACTGCGTAGATTCCAGATCCATAAAGAACACCAATGAAACTTCAAAGGCATAACTTTTTCCTTCGGCAGCATTAAAGAATTCAAACTTCAACAGTAACAGTGAAAACCCATCCATAAGGAACACTTAAAAACAAGAAATAAAAGCTCAAACCCTTCAAACCCATAAACTAGCTAGCTAGCTAGACCTGGCATGGCACTTCCAGAGTAAAACTCAAAATTTAAATCTTCCAAATTACAGCTTACAACCTGGTGTCACATCCGACCCGACATCTTGGTTATGCTTATACTGTTACGTTATATATCTATGCTGAAAATTTATAATACATACCAGTAACATAAAATACCTAGTAAATCAAGAGCCAAGACTCAAGACACATTCGTGCTGGTGGCCTTAACATGCCAAGTACCACAGCCCCAATAATATTGTAGTAATCCTTTCAGTGTTTCGTACACCACACTGTACTATCGATATAGGGAGATTTAGAGATTAAGGAATGGGTATTTGATATAAGACCTTAGGGTTACCCTGGCTTGAGGTCTCTGTCTGTTGGTGGTTTGGAAGGAAAGGGAAAGATAGAAAGAGAATGTGGATGAGATTTGGCGAATGGATATGCAGAGGAAGATGGAGATGAAATCAATGCTTTATTAGAGTAGTAGATATCAGGGCTGACGACTTAATATATTCATTCATGATTCATGATCCACTATGGAAATCAAGATGAATTATATACATCAGTCTTTAGATTATAATTAACATTATAATGAGAATTCTATATTATATATTTATTATAAAAAGACCTCGACTAGTATATATATAATACAAAAAAGAATAAAATAAAAGTTATAATATATATTTATATTCATTTGTATTATTTAATGATTAAAAAATTTATTTATTTATTGATTTACTTTTACTTTTTAAATTTTAAATCTTAAACTTATTTTATTTCTTAAATTAAACTAATTAAAAATATTAAAATCATTCAATTTATTTAATTCATTCAATTCAACTCTATTGAAATTATTTAATTTATCTCATTTAATTTAAAATGATAATAACAATATTTATAATAATACTATGAATAAAAATAATAAAAATAATAAAAATAATAAAAATAATAAAAATAATATTTATTTTTAAAATAAAGTTTTTAATTTTGAATATTAAAAACAAGTTGATATTTTATTTATATTATAATATATATTTAAATTTATTATAAACTTTTTAAAACTAGAATTTTCATTAGACTTTCTCAAAAAACCAAAAGTTCGAGGAGTGTAGACCTTTGATTTATATTATAAATTTTCAAAGATAATAATAATTAATATTATTTATTAATAATTATTTTTTTGAAAAAGTAAAATAATTTTTTAAATAAAAATAAAAATCATATTAAAATTGAGATTATAAAATTCAAATCTTGAAAAACTTTATTAATTATTTTAAATTTAAATTTTATTCTTTGATTAATCATTTAAATATTGTAAATTATATTATTATTATTAATATTTTTCTTTTTAAAAAATTTAATTATTAATAATTAAAAATAGTATTTTATAAATATTTTTATAATTAATAAAATAATTAAATCAAAAAATTGAAAAAATTTTCTTAATTTTATTTTATTTTATTTTAATATTTAAAAGTATAATTAAAAACTATTTTTAATAATCATTTAAAATAATATATATTAATTAAAAATTTTATTTTATTTTAATTTTATATAAATTATAAATTACTAAATTTATAAATTATTAAATTTGTAAAAAATAAATTTTGAAATCTTAATTTTTCTTATTATATTATTATACTCTTCTTAACACCTTAGATTTCACTCGATTATATATAATATAATATATGACATATTTATCTCTCGAGCTCCTCCCTCAACTCCTTTATCCCGCCCTCTCCTCATTCATCATCCCACCCTCTATCAACCTCCCCACTATATCTATCTCCATCCCTTTCTAGCAAAAACAATCACCCCATACCATTTTCCTTTCCTTTCCTTCCTTTCACCCTTTCACCCTTTCATAAAAAAAACAGATGTGCATCTAACAATATTAACCCCCAATCCACAAACACAACCCCCAAGCCAAAGCCAACCAAAAACCACAGACTAACCCGCAATTTACACCCACAAGCCACAAGCCACCTACCTACCTACCTAAGTAGCCGCGCAATCACCCCCACTCCCCACTTAATCATTCCATTCCATTATCCATACCATACCCATACATTCATTAGCTAGTGTAACTTTATATCCGCTTCGCTTCACGCTATATCTATCTATACACGCTATTCCCCTTTTGATACCCTTTTCGATTCTGTATTTAGAGATTTTAGAGATTCAAAGCGTTGCTTTTTTTTCGCCAAGGGGGAACGCGTATGCTTGATGTTTGGGATTTGGAGTTGTAGTTGATTGGTGGATTTAGAACTTTAGATTTAGAGAGTATGTAGATGTACTACTGATAAATGAAGTATTTTTTGGTTTTCGATATTTGGTTTTTGAGATAGGGAAAGAATCTGGTTTAGGTAAGAAGTGGAATTGGTGATTGGTGATTTTGAGGGTGAGTTTGGTGGTGCGTATGATATGTGGTGTGGGTAGATATTGAAGCTTTTTTTGGTAGTGATTTGGAGACTTGTAATATAGTCACTATCGCTATTACTGAGCGAAGGAAAGCAAGTCAAAAAGTTACCTACTCTACTTGACTCTTTGCTCTACTCTACTCCCCTTCCCATCCACGTACTTACAACAACCAACCTGCCATACGAAAACGAATAATCCAGACATCAAGACGTCAGTCAGGTCGTCGTCCATCCTCAAACGATGATAATACTTTGTCCTTTTCTCAGTTAAGGATTTTTATTGCGTGTACTATGTATATATTGAGACCAAGGTCAAGAGAAAGATCAGAGAAAGAGAAAATGATCCTGATTGAATACTGAGTGATTGAGTACGTGGGAAGTTTGAAGAATCATAGGAGAATTCGATGGATGAGTTTTATTTCTTCCTGTAGGTAGGTATTGGTTGGTATGGAGATGAAGATATTGAGAACTAGAGAAAGGTTGAAGATAGTATTCATGACAAGTAAATCCAGATCGCACTGTATAAGCATTTATTTTATTGTTAGTATTATATTATAATACTAATTTTTAACCCTTTGAATCGATTCTGAGATTTGAGAGACCGAGACACTGGTAGATAGATACCTAGATAGATAGATAATCATGGATTTTTACCATTTCTGGTAAAGCACAAAGGACTACCTATACAAAACAGCACAAGACAGATAGATGGTTTTTGATGATATTGTATTTTCGTGAGGCTCAAATTTGAAGAGTGAGTGCATTTCTTGTTTCGTATGTTGATCTGTCTTTGTTTGTAACGTAGGACTATAGGTATTCGGAATTTGAAATTTGAGATTTGAGATTTGAGTATGAATTTGTTGGATTGAGTCAATGGTATGATATGATTCTGAGAGATGTTTATTAGTTTTGTTCTTTTATATATATATATATATTTTCTTAAAGAAGAACAGATAATCCGAGGATAGAGGTTTAATGTGGCTGTACTTTGTACTATTACTGTTGATTATATTTATTCCGTTAATATAAATCATCTGATGTTTATATGTTTTCTTAAAGTTATTCTGTATGCCAAGATAAAATCGGGTGTCTATCTATCATTCATGCATGGATGTTGTGTTGAGGCAAAAAGATCTACTCTCGTTGTCGCAATATGGTTCACATCGCGATCCGTAGTACATGAGGCAAGATATCATTGAACCCTTCAGACTTTAGGTGATTGAGAATAATTCATCCCTAGTTAGTTGAATTGTTGCAAGTTAAGTTGTTGACCGATAAGGACAAGGTGTTGTTGTATTATATTATATTCTCTGTATCTACTTATGTATCGACTATGTACTAATTTCCAAGGTTTCTTTATCAAGTGATTTCGATGTTAGTTGCAACCAATCATGTCGAAGAGAAAGGCCATTTCAACATGACTACGACAATGAAGTCGTCGTCAGCTCTTTTCTAAAGTTACTCAAATCCATGGCCCACGTCAACATTTCTTAAATGTCCGATGAGATTGTTGGATACTAGATAGGAAAGTCTATGCATTAGATGAGAAGTAAACGGAGTAATTATCTCCAGGTAAAAGAGCAGCTTTCGACCGATCAAAACGATCCATCTCGGATCCCGATTGATAAATGCTCAGCTTGGCATGCTTGGCCATGAAAAAGATCCGAATTGAATCAAACGTACGGAGAAAGAGAGTAACCCTCCACCAAGCGAATCTGATTGAATGAATCTGGAAACCACGCGTACAAATTCAAGTGCCAAGGGTAACAGAGAAGCTATCTGTACTAGAGTCACGATTGTTTGATGATAGCAACTCAAACGTCAAGTCATCTTAAAATATCTATATTATATCTGTTTGTGTGTAGATCAAAAAGTCTATGGGGAGTAGAATGCAAGTCATGTCATGAGTGAAGAATAAGGATGTGAAGGTATGAATTGTCATGATTTTAACTCTTTAACTTTGTGGTCCCTGGAAAAGATCTTGGAATTTACTTGATGTGGTTAGGAAACTTACGCAGTAACGGCTTGTTGCTGTACAGGAATTGCGTATACTAGTATAGTATACTTTTATTCCAAGTCATCTAATTATCGACCCAATCCCCATGATCATCGCCATTACCAGGCAATCAACTTGACGATACGCATCCTTTCCACCTGGTGAACCTATCATCACTCTACGCAACCGTACTCATTCTTCTTTCAACTACACATTTCACGACACGACACGACACGACACGGCAACTATACCTAATGATATTCGACCGCTGATCAGTTGAAACTCCCTCGGTTTACTTGACTCCGGAACCTTTCCCTCAAGCTGTGCACGTTATGTTGATAGGTTTTCATCCAAATCCATTTTCCCCCTTCCCCTAGTTCGAAGGAGAGTTATCATTCTTCTACGGAGTAATCTACAGAGTAATCTACACAATTACGAATCGCTAGCCTAAATTCATAAGCGAAAAGTGGCGATTGCAGCATCCCAAAAAGTGCCTACTACTGTAATAGGTAATGGAAGTGTGAAGTGGAGGGCTGTGCTCGAGGGACAAACAGTATTGAAGAAGAAGAGTGTGAAGGAAGGTTGTGGATGTGTAAGAAAGAGTACAACTTCTTACGACTTTACAACTTTACAACTTTACAACCTCACAACTTTACATTGGATTTCTATTTTACATTTCAATCATTTTCTTCGACAACAAATCCTTCCTTTTTTCCTTTCGGCATTATTCGACAGTCGTATTATTATACCAACCATTTCGGACGATATCATAGGATTCCTCTTCAGTTGTAGGACAGGCCGCCATTTATACAAAGAGATAGGAAGAGGCAGAGAGTGTGTGAGTGAGTGTGAGTGAGAGTGAGAGTCAGTGGTTGCAAAGGTTGAAATTGAAGGACGTCGCATTACGCATACGAATACACATACGCATACACATCATATCTTTTCTTTCGCTACCTACTCGACTTCGACTCGACATTCAATATTTAATTCTTACCTTGAACAACGTCACCACCACCATCACCATCACCATCACCCATCACCACCACCACCACCACAACCACCACCACAACAACGAAATGGCTGATCGAAATGAATCAAACACATCAAATTCATCAAATGCTGAATACGACCATGTATGGGCAAAAGATCTAAGACAACAATTCGAAGGTCTGCTAAGGACGAAAAGATTAAATGAATTGGATAGATCAAGATCACGAAATCCATCACCATCACCTAGAGAAAGATCATCTTCATCAAATCTCCGAGCTTCATCTTCACAGAATCAACAACAATCTACCAACTTTCGATCCACTTCTTCATCAAATAATCAATCAAAACCTCCAACTCCTCCAGCATATTCTTCATTAAGAAGTTTACCAAAGATTCCTTCTCCACCAGCAGATGCTCAATCACAAAAGTTTCGAAATTTATTAATCTCAATCTCACAAACACCTACGAAATATGAAAATCCCGGTTTATTGGATGAAGCTTTACAACATTTACCATTGGATAGAATTTATGGAGAAGCAGAAGAAGAAAGTCAAATCTTACAAGCTGAGGCCGAAAGTATGGGAGATGGAAGGAAACCAGAATGGGGTTATCAAGATTGTGTCATTCGAGCTTTACTGAGGTATGTCTTGATTCCAATCTCAATTCGACAACCTTCTCTAACATTTTACCAGATGGTTTAAACGTTCTTTCTTCTCTTGGGTAAATAATCCACCATGTCATGCATGCATGTCACCTACAGTTGCGCAAGGAATGACACCCCCAACACCCGATGAATTAGCTTGTGGAGCGACAAAGGTAGAATTATACAGATGTTCGGCGGGAGATTGTGGTGCATATGAACGATTTCCTCGATATAGTGACGTTTGGCGATTATTACAAACAAGAAGAGGAAGAGTGGGAGAGTGGGCTAATTGTTTCAGTATGTTGTGTCGCGCAGTTGGAGGTCGTGTAAGATGGGTTTGGAATGTTGAGGATCATGTTTGGACTGAAGTTTATTCGGATACGAAAAAGAGGTGGATTCATGTTGATGCATGTGAAGAAGCTTGGGATAATCCAAGATTATATGCAGAAGGTTGGGGCAAGAAGATGTCTTATTGTATTGCTTTTTCAATGGAAGGTGCGACGGATGTTACTCGAAGATATGTACGAAAACCCGATCATGCTCTCCCACGAAATCGATGTCCGGAAGAAGTTATGCTGTATATTCAAAACGAAATTCGTGGTCTTCGAAGATCAAATATGAATAAGGATGAAAGATTTCGATTGGAAAAGGAAGATGCGAGGGAAGATAAGGAATTGAGGGGTTATGTGGTAGCATCAATTGCGCAATCCGTCGTATCGAATTTAAGACCGGATGGATCATCACATCAACAAATGACATCTCCACCTCCACGACAAGAAGATCAAAAATTACCAGCTGAACAACCTGGTAGACAAACTGGTGCACAAGAATGGGCTAATGCTAGAGGTGAAGCTGGAAGAAGAAATCAACATCCAAGAGATCCTTCACAACATGGACCTTGAAATTAAGGAGATTAATTGAAATTCATTCTTTTATTATACAACAACAACAACAACAACAACAATAATATTCGATTCGTCGAGTGGAATCCTTTAATGAGGGTAAAGGTACAGATGCCATACATAACATCGAGATGAAAAATGATCGAGCCTCGGATTCATCGAATCAATGTTAATCATACTCATGAGATGAACAAAGCATTACGAATTGACATCGCCGTTGTGCATGCAACCATGCATTATTCGATTCTAATACACATCAAAAGATTTACCATTTCATTTGTTTTTTACGGTTATTAGAGCGTCATTTTTATTATGGCGATTTACGTTATATAAACTATCGTTTTATCATTCAGCATGCGAGGAGTTTGGTATCTCACACTATATACGTAGTAACATATAATTTTATTTGTTTAAGAAGGATAGGATAGGAAGGGAAGGGATGGGATGGGATGGGATGGGGAAGGGAAGAGAAAAGGAAAGAAGGATAAAGCTGTGAGTGAATTTGGGATATCACTATTATACAGCTGGCGTTTTTTAAGGTCGAATAGATGTTGAGATTTTTGAGCTCTTGTCTAAAGGTAGTAGTAGGATTATTTACTTACTTTACTTATTGGATATATTCCCTTTGTTGTTTATTGTGTATTGTGTCTGGGTTCATATCGTGATATGATATCATGGAGTGAAGGGAAGAAGGAAGGGAAGGGATTTTGTAGATGCGATGGGATGGACGGGGATAGGGATGGGAGATGAGGATAGGAAAGAGGAGAGGAAGAGGGAGGAGAGAGAGAGGAAGAGGAAAAGGAAAGGAAAGGAAAGAAATGGAGGAGGTGGATGGGTGGATGGAATGAAAGGTGGAAACCAATGGATGGAATGGAATGGAATGAATGAAATGAAATGAATGGATGGATTGGATGGATGGATTGGAATGGAATGGTAGGTGGGTGGGTAGGTGGGTGGGTGGGTATATATATATCTTATTGTATTTATTTTATTTTATCTGAGATTATAATATGAGTTAGATGAGTGTTACGACCACGGATCTTATACTAATTGATCGTGTGCTTACGAGATACGATTTGAACGATTTAATATAGGATTGAAATAGTATAAAAGAACAAATATACACAAACCTTGTTAAGCTTGGATCTATAATAATTACAGGATCATATTAAAAAGTATTGAAGGTTCGAAGGCTCCTACCTACACTTTAAGAGAATATTGAAGATCCGAAAGCTTTATGGTTTTTAAGTATGAAGATTTATATAGTTAGAAAGGATTTTTTATTGTAAAGTTTTGTATTTAAGATTAATTATTCAGTATACTTTATTATTAGTTACAAATTATAATATAAAAAAGTTGAAATTATAAACCAAATACATAGAGGTTTTTAACCAGTCAATCACATGGCCTCTTGTAGTTAGATATAAAAAGAGAGCTTTTACCTCTTCTTTTCATAATAATCAACCTTTTATATATATACATTTGAATCTATATAGCTTTCACCCCAAATTTTTTTATAAACCCTGTTTTCTCTATAAGTAATTTATTACGATGTGATCTAATTCAGCTTTCTCTTCCAATTCCCCCTCACAGCGTGCTATCGGACGCATGTATCTCGACCTACCACTTTTACAGTATATAGGGTTATGTATTAGTTAGTTGTTGGTTTGTGTCTTTGTGTAGTTGTTGGGTTTGGTTAACTGGTTTGTAGATTGTAGGCTGTAGGCTGGTCTGTAGTTGGAGGGGTAGTTGGGGTTGTGGTTGTAGCCTGTTTGGTCGGGTTATTTGCGGATAGATCAGATGAGGTGTTTGGTTAGTGGGTGGGTTGAGATGGATGGTGGTTGGCGAGCTGGTTTGGGTTGGGTTGGTGGGTTGAGATGGAGGTAGATATGTAAGTATAAATAGGTTGGTGAATTAATACGTTGGTTAGATGTTGGTGGTTAGGTGGTTGAAGTGGTTGTGATTATGATTGTAATTGTGATTGTAATTGTGATTGTAATTGTGAATAAGTCTATATTCCGACCACCCTCTCATTCCAATCACTTTTTTATATTAAAAATCATCATTTTCAAGTTATTAATAATTCAAATAATAAATGAATAAAATCAATTGAAATTTTAATTCTAAACTTTTTAATAATTATTAATAAAATTTTGAAATTTTCAGATTTTTCAAGATTTTTCAAGATTTTACTAATTGATATTTTTAATTTTTATAAAATTTATTTAATAGATTTTAATTCAAAAACTTAAAAAAAAACTTATAATTTATTTTTAATAATTTTTATTGAAAAGTTATTTCAAATTTTGATGATTTTTAAACTTGTATATAAATCTTATATAAATTGAAAATTATAATTTTAATTTTCAATTTCTCAATTAATAAATTATGAAAAATCTAAAAATTTCAAAATCTATTCATAATTATATAATAAATCTACAATTAAAATTTTAATTAATTTCATTCATTTGTTGTTGAAATATTAATAGCTGAAAATGATGATTTTTGATATAAAAGAGTGGCCGAAAAGAGGGGTACTAGACTTAAGTGTTTATGATTATTATTAATATACAGTTATAATATCCTTATATGCTGGCTGGGATACTTGGTGCAGGTGAGCGAGTTGGTTTGGGTTGAGTTGAGATTAAGGGTTGAGGGTTGAGGGGTTTGTTTGATGGTTGGCCTGTTGAAGGTTGGAGGTTTTGTTCAAGTTGAGGAGAGGAGATTTTATATTCGTTTTGATGATGGGGAAGATAAGAAGTTTAATTTTAAGGTTAACTTATGATTAGATTTTCCCATACAAGTAATCTTATATGCATTATATTTCCTTTTCTTGCCTTTCTTTTTGTTGATCTCATTCCTGACTAGAGAGCGTATATATAATTGAAAAATTTGGATACCATTTCAATTTCTCTTCTTATAATTTTCAGATGCAATAATCTCAAATTTTTATCGTCTTTTAACGTTGAGACTATCGGTGAAGGATTTACTCTACTCCAGGGTTGGTTGGTTGGAGTGTTGGAATCCGACTTTTTTCCTCCCAAAATCCCCACAAACACCAACACACAACTTCATTGCATTTTTACACGGGGCGTTGAAGGAGTTTGATTATTTGATGTTTATCATTTGATTGTTGGAATTTGGGAGAGGCGTTTGGATTCAGCAATTATATCTTTCTTCCTCTCAACTATTTGGTTTGAGTCTGATCTGAGGGTAAGCAAGAAAGAGTCAAACAGGTGAGAACAAGCCAAAGTTTTTGTTTGGCGGGGTGCTCTAAGTTAGTTAGTTACCCATGCGAATATTTGAGTTCATTCATTTATTTCTTCACAGGGAAATGATGAATGATCATGCAGCTAGGAATTCAAGGGAAATCGATGAAATCGATGAACAGGGGAAGGATATCGATGTTCATAAACAACATCCGAAACTTGTCATTCCCGTGATTTATACATCACCACTACAATCTCAAAAACTGGAACCTCTAAATCTACAAACGGAATCCCGAAATCTCGGTTCACGACCGGCATCGAGAACATTTGGATCTTTTTTGGCGGTTCATTCACCGATTCATACAAGACCTCTTAGATCACTTCTTCCATCTCCTAATACACATGGAAAGAGAGAGAAAACTCTTCCAAGGAGTACAAGAGGAAGCTTCTTTATTTCACATCCTTCAAGAGAAGAAATGGGTAAGGAACCTAGATCTCTAAAAAGTTTCATGGGAGATAAATGGTATGATTGTTCAGTACGATGGATGTCATGGATGTCACCTATCTCTGCCCTCCTCCCACCACTTAACTTTATAACAATTCATTATACCTATTTCATCATCACACTTCTCGTCACCTCTCTAATCTTTTGGGGTTCCTCAAATCCCTCAAAATCTATATCTTATGTTGATTCGTTATTTTTGGTAACATCGGCAATGACCGAAGCAGGGCTTAATACGGTTAATTTAAGTACGATGACGACTTTTCAACAGGTTATTCTTTGGTTATTGATTGTGGTTGGAAGTGCAATATTTGTTAGTGTGGCGACTGTTAGAACGAGGAAGAGGGCTTTTGAGATTAGATTTGGAGAGGTGGTTGGAAGGCAAAAGGAAGAAAGGAGGAGAGACAGGCTGAGGAGTGGAAGTAGGGAGGCTGTAGAAAGTAGGAGGGGAGATGTTGGGGGTGCGGATGGAAGTGGATTCATGAATGATGCTTGGAAGTTTCCTTCTATTGGAGGTGGGAAAAATGGAAATGGAGATGAAGAAATTGTTGGGATGAATGAAGGATTGAAAATTCGACCAGCTGAAGGAAAAACTGATGAAAATTGCATGACGGCTATCTCGGAGATTTCACCTCATGGCGGTATACCAAAAAATACAGGAGATCATATTACCTTTGCGCCCGATGCATATCCAGCAAGTGGAAAAGGGAAAGCAAAGGAAATTACAGTAGGAAGTTCAAATGACGGGACTACAACACCAGCTCACTCTACAAATTTCCTATTTCCTACCTCAAACCCAGAAACTAACACACTAAAACATCGAATCAATGAAATAGATACACCACTTCGTCGCTCACAAACTGGTCAACAAGATCTTGCTCTTCTTCAATATCCATCTTACTTAAATTCTAATACCACCGGCCGCAATGCTCAATTCCATGGTCTATCACGAGCAGAAAGAGAACATTTAGGTGGTGTTGAATATCAAGCTATATCATTCCTAGCCTGGTTAGTACCAGCTTATTTTATTCTTTGGCAAGTACTTGGGGGAATAGGATTAGGTGCTTATATGGCTTATAATAAGAGTGATGTTGCTCTTGAGAATGGGATTAATCCATGGTGGCTGGGAGTATTTAATGCTATTAGTGCATTTAATAATTCGGGGATGAGTTTATTGGATTTAAATATGGTGAGTTGATTCTTTTGACGCTCTCTATTTCTATCTTTCAGAAATCCTTAGAGCCAAGGAATACTAACAACAATAGATACCCTTTCAAACTTCAGTCTATACCCTCTTAACAATGGGTCTATTAATCCTCGCCGGAAATACAGCTTACCCACTCTTCTTACGCCTAATTCTTTATACACTCCTCAAACTCCTTGATATCTTCCCTAACTTCCTCTCGCCATTTCAACACCATAAACCGACTCTTCTTTTTATCCTCCGCTATCCACGCCGTGTCTATACCAATCTCTTTCCTTCACGCGCAACATGGTGGCTACTCTTCATGGTCATAACACTTAACTCTATCGATTGGATCGCCTTCGAACTCCTCAACATTGGCAATTCCGCAACTCAAGTCATTGAACCTAGATATAGAGTTTTAGATGGACTTTTTCAAGCAATTGCGGTTCGAAGTGGTGGATTTTATATTATTAGTATACCAACTTTACGTATTGGACTACAGTTTCTATACGTCGTCATGATGTATATCAGTGTATACCCAGTCGTTATAACAATGCGCCATTCCAATGTCTACGAAGAACGCAGTTTAGGTATTTATGCCAATGATATCGATCCATCTCATACCTCAAGAATAGGAAGAAGAATGAAGAAATTAAAACGATCATTTTCCGGTCGAGAACTTACTACTTCTTCATCCGAAGTAACTAGTCCCTCACAAAAAGATAAAGACGAAACAACAGGAACTCAGTTTATTCACCATCAACTCCGTTCTCAACTCTCCCATGATTTATGGTGGTTAACCCTCGCTACTTTACTTATCGTCTGTATAGAAGCTTCTTCCTTCCAAAAAGATCCTATTACTTATAGTGTGTTTAATGTTATCTTCGAGGTGGTGAGCGCGTATGGTTGTGTGGGAATTAGTATCGGGTTGCCGGATCAGGATTATAGTTTTAGTGGAGGATTGAGGAGTGCGAGTAAGGTTGTTTTGGTGGCGGTTATGGTGAGAGGACGCCATAGGGGTTTGCCGATGGCGTTGGATAGGGCGGTTAGGTTGCCTGGGTGGGAGGGGGAGGGTTTGGGAGGTGAAGGTGGGGAGCGCGGGGAGGGATGATGGTGGGGAGGAGATTTTGGTGAAGGGAATGGGGAAGGGGGGAAGGGAAGAGAGGAGATAGAGAGGAAGAGGATTGAGAGATCTAGTCGTGGAGTTGCTGATCTGGAGGAGGTTTAGATTTATAGTACTCGAGTAGTGCGCGTGCTAGTACTTAAAACCCTGGATTCTCATCATGGTATGGTATTGTATGGATAAAGTATGAATAATGAGACGAGATGAGATAGGTATCACGGAAGTTAAACGAGAAAGAATATCCTCTTTTGCTTTTGTAAGTTCTTATTTCGATATGGGATTTCCAGTGATAGGCACTGATTGGAGCCATGGCGTTTAAGGGGTGTGTATAGGTGTTAGGGATAAAGTGTTAGGGATAAGATTTGAGGGACAGTATAATAGACTGACAGAATGAAAGCTGGATACAAGTAAGGAAGAAATTTCTGATATATCAAGAGAGTTTAATAAAAAATCTAGAGGAGTGAAATATGAGATGAGAATTTTACAACGGATGATGTTGATGATTGTTGGTTTTGATGATAGCAAGACCAATCTTACCAATGACGGAAGAATGTTATATACCTAGATATCAATGAAAAAGTAAATTAACAATGATGATTAAGATGATAATATAAAATAATGAAATATATTAAGAAAATATACAAAATTTCCGCGAAATTCGAGAAGAGAGAGACGTTTAGATTTTGGTTAGTGTGATGTAACCTTAACTGTTCTGACGAAACCATCCTTACTGCAGGTTTTTGAATGGACTGACCATGGTGGGTTTGGTAGGTATGGAAATGGGATGGGTATGCAGGCTTTTATACACTGTAGGTATTGAGTTGTTTGTTTTTGTAAGATCTTATATGAGGTTAGATGTGGAGGGCAGGGGAGGGGGTGGATGGAATGGGGATGAGTGAATGATTGAGAGGTTGATCATGATAAATACCTAGGTAGGTAGTTATCATGGCTGCAATGAGTGACTGGCGTAGAGTGAATGAAATGCAGGTATTCCCTGGCTGAGAGGGCATAGCTTGGGAATGGAAATGGAAATGGGGATGGATATCCTAGTATTTAAGGAGAAACTTATCGAAGATTTCTCAAAATCAATTACCTGAAGAATACATTTACCACTGGCGGAAATGCAACAGCAATAGCTACAGCAACTGATCCTAAGACTATGATTCTATTGAATCACAAAGGATCGATGGATCCTTTGATTTTTGGGATGGGTGATAGTTAAGTATTATGCGAATGATGGGAACCATTTGTTGTCATAAAAAGAATATATCAAGAGGATGATACATTGTCGACGCCAGGAAGTTTTCTAAAAATGTCATCGTTGTTTAAATCATTGCCGTTCAAGCTAAACCTCCATCGGAGCACTAATATAAAATAGATATCCTCGAAAGTTATCACTTGGTCCATTTTGGAGATGATGAATCGAATAGATCCGAGTCCTTGTGCGTCTTAGCAAAATAATTAAAGAATGTTGTGTTTATGATCGGTGGTTTATATCTGATTTACTTAAGCTTTGCACATATATGATATGGTGGTAACTTGAAGCCTTGCTCCTGAGGATATACGAAAGGGGTAAGGTTAACTGTTATAATGGTTGGGATGGATCAAGGTTAAACGTAAGCTGCTATTCTGATCTTTAAGCTTCAAGCAGTCAAGAGTACTATCGATTCATCGTAGCTACTTCAGTAGAATTTAGCCCTACGGGTTGAATATCGATGTGACGTTAGTGGAAGTAAGGAGGTAAAGCACGTGAAATTCTTTGAATCCGAGCGGGGAATTGTTATCGGACGCTAGCGCTAAGCTAAGCTTATCGAAGCTCAATCCCGTTGGCTGCGACAAGATTTCTACATCAATAAAACCATCTCGAGAGTCTCTCCCGATACAGTATGGTTAGAAGCAGTCAGCATCTTCCTTTCGAGTACATTTGCTAGCACAGAGAGCTTCTTTCCTCGGCCATATCTTCTGAAAAGGAAAAACTCTCTGATATCAGGCAAGGTTTGAATGAAGCCTCAAATTCCCTCCAACATGTCAACGATGACCATGATCATCAAGAGATTTAATCGAATCGCAAGGAGTTTGTGCTGGGTCCTATTTCTGCCCTCTCTTGATGTAAAATCATGGAGATGGAATTGCTATAAAGGTGCTATATTTTCCCCTGACGGACAGTCTACTAAACCACAGGAAAAATAGATCAATTATCTTTTAAAACAAGCAATTCAGACGACTATCCGCAATTCCAGTTGTCATACATCAAAGATGTCATCCAGAAACATCGTTCTCATCATCGGTGCAAACAGTGGTATAGGCTATGTAGCTGTGAAAGCATTCCTTCAATCTACGAAAACTATATCATATCCTCTTTGGTGCTCGTTATTTGGAGAAAGCTCAATGTGCTGTTGGTGGTTTAGAGAAAGAGGTTCCTAAACCGAATAATACGATTGAGGCACTCGAGGTTGATTTGTGAGTGATGGGAGTATAGACAAGGCATTTGAATAGTTACAAAAATCATCGAATGGTCGATCCGCCGGTTAATAATGTTGGTATGCAGATTATTTCATGACCAAGTGATGCTAATGTTTTTTTTTTCAGGTGCAACCTTGGATGTCGCATATATCAACGGAAAATGAGCTCGTCGCGAATGCTTCAACAATGCCTATGATGTTAATGTAGCCGGCATACACATCCTCACCGCAACATTCACCCCCCTCCTTATAAAATCCCAAGATTCCCATCTAGTATTCGTCACAGGCCTTTCAGCAATCATCAAGCCTCTACCAATACTTTCCAACCACCGCACAGCCAACTAGTTGGCCAGAGAAAATAGAGCTCGAGACAATTTGATATAGATGTTTGAAAACAGCACTTGATATGTTGATATTGGATTGGAATCATAAGTTAAAGGCAGGTGGAGTCAAGGTTTTGGCAGTTAAACCAGGAATCTGTGCTGCGAATCTTAGGTAGTTGGGGACTAGAGCTTGCTTATAAAATGGAGCGTGAACATGCGTCTAGAGGTCGATTGATTATTAGGAGTGTGGTTGAGGGGGAGGGAGATGAGGGTGTTGGAAATTTGTTGGAAAGGTTAGGATTGTGGATTGCTGAGGTTAGTTTGGCAGGGAGGAGGTACTGATGGCTCTTGTCTCTCGATACATACAATCGTTGTAAGAATATTTATGGTTCTACAGTTTTTCTGCGCAACCGTATAAGAGTAAAACTACTGAAATATCTTATTCCGCTGTTGGACCAGTTGATTTGTGGAAATCTCTCCCATTCTTTGGTGCATAGGACTAAGTGATAGATTTTGGCTCCAAGTGAGCAGCCAAATTCATTCTGTCGCGATGGCCTCTCTGATAAACGCATGAAATCTTCCTCCTATATTCTTCAGTATCATCGAGACTGTTTTATCAGAAGTCCCAGGGCTCTAGAGGGCCATCATGGATGTCATCCCCTCAGAGAAAACTATTCAAAAGCTATCTTGCAGGTGCATATCACTTGACTTCTTTTAAATGCATGATTGCAGAACACAACCGGACAGTATAAGAAATTAGACTTTAAAGCTCATAGTCATTGTTATCGTACTATCATTGGCAATAAGCATTGTCGGTGTATTCTTTCTTGTTATCTGAAATTCTTCGATTGTTGCTAGTGAGAGTTTGGATATTATATTAATACCTAATTACTTATAGTAAGTATCTATTATAATAGATTTTTTAATCTTCGGTTCAAAGATATTTTGATATATCTTACTGTCATGTAGGTAGGTAGGCATTATCGATCTTTCATTGTGATATTATTACTTTAGAAAGAACTAGATAAATAAATAGCGAACATCAATCTTTCCTAAATGCAATAAAACTACGTGGGGTGAATTACTACAGAGAAGTTTTCGATAACATCAGGGATTCTTTTATAGAACGAAGAGGACCTAAGTATGGTCTTAATGGCTAAAGACTGTTTTGTTACTACTGGTAAATTCACTCAATTTGCAGGTCCAAGTTGACAATAAATGCTTTAACTAAGAGGATTATGCGGATTTCAAATTGTCGGGTATTTAAGGTTTCTTATCTTCATTCTGGATCGAAGTAGAATCATTAATGAAATCAGAGAACTGGTCTTTTATTTGTTAGATTCAGTTGTATACTTTTTCGACAATGTGTTGTTTTATTAAGGAATTGTAGTTTTTTGAATTCAAGTATTTGTTATTTGATAAGAATTGATATATTTTTATCGTTTAGGAATTGTTGTTATAATTAATATAATCTTGTCATTATTGTCAAAAATTGATATACTTTGTTTGAATAATAAAGAGGAGAGTAATAGAGATAATGAAGAGTGAGATTAGATTATTAATAATCGATGCTTGTTATATAATTGTTATTTTGCAATGATAAATCAGTTGAAGTAGATTCTCAAACACATTCAATTTTTTAAGTTCGGAAAATAAACTTATGAGATAACTCCCGATGTTGTGAATAACACACAGTTCTTATACTATACAGCTATAGTAGATTACAATAAAGTTTTCCCCGGAATATGTTTTTACGGACGGGGCTATATTCACCATATCTATTGTATTTCATGAATTCCTTAGTACATACATATGTATATTCACCATGACCAGGGTAGGAAGCCAAGTACTGAAGTAAAATGAGGACTGAACTATTTAAGCTCTCTCCCCCCCTCAACTTGACTCTTTAGATCAAGAAATTTCTTCTTGGCTTTTCTTCAAGTCATGGTAATCATTGTGGTCTTGGCTTGCTGTGTGGTGCTCTTCCTTGTTTAGCTAGTAGTCATTAGTTTCTGACTGGGTAAATACCTGCTTTCGGCCATCTTATATCTCTGCTCGATTATCGCTTATTTTGTTGTCGGATTTTGTTGTTAGTATCGTTTTTTTTCTCTGTCGACGGGACTTTATATTTCATTAAATGTTGGAGGAAAATAAAATATTACAGATTTGGGTTGAGAATGGGGTGACGGTGTACTTTTTTAACTTCGAGTGAGGAGTTGATTGATGCATGCTATGTCTTACTACCTGCGGGTACGAAAAAGGAGACTACTTCACGTCTTTTTTGCAAATGATATTCTGGGTGAGGGATCTAATGTGGAAGAATCATGCGGTAGTGGTTGAGCTTTATATGATGCTTTTACTGGAATTGACTGGATGTTCTAGTCTAATTTCATGCATAAGTTTTGCTTCGATGAGTACCAACTTGAGCACGTGTTTAAAGGTGACTCTGTCCTCATCATTCATTCATTCATTCATTCATTATGCTAGAAGCCTTGCATCTTTCTGCTTATCAATAATTTCTGATTGAATCATTCAACTCGAAGTTCGGATATGTTGCTGGGGTTGAAATAGACCATTGGGTGAGAAGTACATTCATTGTATTGTTCTGTAGTTTTGGAACTGCTCGTTTATTTGAGGGGTAATAATGGGGAATTTGTTGGAAGGCCGCTCCTACAAGGTTTGAATTGAACATGTTGAATCTTTGGAGAGTTTAACCGTTACCCTTTTCCTAGTTATTAAAATAATGCTTTGATTCTCATTTGGGGAATAATTTATTCATAGGAGGAAATAGATCTAGATATAGATGTCACGGGGTAGGTTTTATGGAGTTCGTAATGATGCTGTTCGATTTACCATCTCGAAAGTGGGATTTGCATATGGAAATGATCGTGATTAAGAAAAGTTCTATTGTCGAATTCAAAATGTTGTGAATGATGTTGTTAGTAGTTCTTGTCCTATTCCTTTGGCTCATGGGTAGTTAGTACAACGATCCGATATTGGATCAAAACAGCCAATATCCTAATCTCATTTTCCCGCAAAATGCATTAGGAACATATGCGAACCTCGATCAATGAGCTCGGCTTTGTGTATGACTACTTGGTACCTATTGGGAAAATTATTCGATCTCAATCTTGGAATTCAGATATGATGGCAATAAATTCACTATTATTGAAGGGTGGATAAATGATGTTTCTCTTTGAGAGTATAAATATTAACGCTCTCTTATGAAGATAATTTTCAACTCCCAGCACCTGAACCTTGGATCAGGTATTAAGGTTTGGTCTGTTGTACTTGTTATCCTGCATATAATGGGAGTGCATAATCAGTTTAGTCCCAAGCAAGGGGAAGTGAAATGATTTCTTATCCGGTCTGGAGTTGATAGGTAATACATGCTGTTGTTCAGACTTTGATTGTTATTTGTTATTATCGTCAATCATCTTTTTCAACCTATAAAGGGCAAGAGGCCGGAATGGATATTTTAACTTTGATCCATAAAGATATGATAAAAAGCTATATTCGTCAAGTGAAACAAAGGACATTAAATGAAATCTAGAAGCTTCAGATCCCTTTATAGAAGTATTAGCAAGTTATATACAGATCATCTTGTTAGATCATAGACTATGATGTTTTCAATGCCTTAAACGAAAGTATATTGATGTTCGTCTCAGCATCATTTGCTTTTTACTCCGTCGCTAATCCTCAACCTTCACTTCGGACTCTGATTCATTTCTTATCTTTTTATATTCATTTCGCGAAGCAACAACGATAACGCCAACAACAATGATGAAAAATCCATCACGGTAAAAGAAACCTCAATATAATAATCAAAAAATAAAAATAATAGTTTATAAAGCTTTGAAATATAAAATCAAGAAAATTATAATTTTTATCTGTAATAATAATTTATTTTAATTAATTTTTTATTTATTAATATATTAATCAATATTTATTAATCAAAAATAATCACTTTATAAAAAAATAATATTCAAAATAATATTAATTAATACTTAAATTATTATTTAAGTGTTTTATTTGAGATAAATAATAGAAATGTATCATATATATTGTTTTATATACCTTAAAAGAAAGTGATTAAAAAGTTAAAACTGAGTACATACAGATTAATAATTTTAATGATTAGTATAATTATCATCTTTGATATATATATATATATCAAGTGTTCAAATATCTATTTTCAAATAATATAGATTAATCTAAATCATTCAGTTCATGTCTTGAGATGTTAATGAAAGAGGAATTAGAGGATTTATTTTTATAGATCGTTGTTGCAAATTATAAATTATTAAAAATCTTTCATTAAATATATTTTTGTAGTTTCTCTTCAAATATTATTATATATATACAGGTATCAAATATTAAGTTGTATAACTTTTTTGTTCAAGAGTCATTATATCAAGTAGATAAGAGTTAACAAATGTTAATATATAAATGTTGTATCTAGGTATATTTTGTCATCTTGATAATTGTTGCTGTCGTCTGACGCTCTATATAAGTAATAGGTGTTGAGATGAATATAACAATCTTTTGGCATCCGAAAACCACGAGTAGTGACCTGCCTTACGTACCAAGATTTAAACCCGAAGGAGTAATAATACAATCGTCGCGCGGCTTGAAACCTTCTCGGCCGCCTGTGGTGTCTTTTATGATTCTGCTAGATGTCTACTTCATTTTATTTGAATAATGCAAATTCATAGACAAGAAATTACGAAACACTCCGTTAAAGCACCCGATGAACAGCAGCTTTCATTTACCACTAGCTTTATTCGACCCAGAACACAGACCTAACAGCAGGTGGTCTCCAACTTAGTTTTTATGCAGTGAATTTGATTATCAGGGGAAGATAAAAGGTTCGTATGGACTCTGACCGTATCTGCAAAGTCTACACAAAACTTCTCCGAGAGACCCCAGGTAGAGGTCTCAGTTGAGCCTTGCGGAAAGGTAATGGCATTTGTGTCAGAAATTTAAAGTTATTCTCTTGGTAAATTATTATGTTTTTGATCAAGTGTTAATCTTGATGTAATTGACGACGGTTGCCTTATTGCTGTCCAAGTTTCTACTGTCATGATTTTTGATGTATTTTGAAGTCATTAAACGAGGCCTTTGCTTGGAAAACGCACACACTGGATTTAAAAGACGGGACTTTCTAATCGAAGGACTTCTCCCTGTAAACTGAGACCAGGCCACATTGTCAAACCGAGCTTCCTGCTTCTTTCTATACATACCGTAAACTTTAAGAAGCTGAGGGTTTATATACCTAGATCTTTCAGATTCTTGGACTTAATTAAGTTTATTCACTCGCAAGAATTATGAAGCCTCGGCGAACTTACGAAAGCTCTATTACATGTATTGAAATGCGATCACTGGGTTGCATTCACTGATCTTGCAAGGTTTAGTTGAGTTCTTAAAGAATTCTCTAGTAATACTAATATATAAGGGCCGCCTACCAAGGTGTCCCAAACACACCGGCATGTCACAAATAATCATTATCCACCTCCATGTTGGGAGTAAAGGGATTTTGTAATAGCCAGGACACAGAAAATCTTAAACTTATTAGCGACATTTGGTATTCTAGGAAATATTGCAAAGGTGGTATTACTATCATTTCATCTTTTCTTGTTTTCGTGACTCGTTAACACTGTTGTTTATCTTTGTGTAAAGAATTCTTTACTTCTCTTATATAGACGAGAATTATAATAATATAAAATATTAATGATTATTTTTATTTAATTTTATATTTAAATGTCACTCATTATCGTCGTCTCTGGTATGCGTTGTCAATATATATAGAGATATATGTTTGAAAGTCTGAAGATGGGAACGATGCTGGCAAGTCACTCCTCAACCACACAATCTTTATCCCAAGACCTCTAACGCCCACTTACTATCTTCTGTGGCATATTGTTCTCTCAACCATCACGGAATACCTGGCTCCAGTGTCTTAGGATAAACCCATCCTACTCGGCCAATAACTATCTAGAGTTTAAATAGCCAGTCGATGAGAACCTAGAGGTGAAGATACAGGTAGGTGCGGAAATTATCTATTCGACCCCTCATTTCCTAATCAAGTAATCAAAATAGAGGTGATTGAATATGCTACTTGGAAGTGAATTATAAATTCCACACTTTAATATCACATGTCCGAGATCTGATATGTGAAAACGAAGAGAAGTTTCAAAGCAAAATGTATAAAAGGATCCGTACATTCTTCATGATGAACAACAAGTATGAATTCAGGAAGAGGGAGTTTAATTTGTGAGTTGATATACAGATAGATCGACTTTTTTCGATAGGGTTGTTTCGGCTTTTGATGTGGCTCAAATCTAAAATAATTGATCTAATGATTCTCATCTGAATATACTTTTAATATTGTTTTTTTATTATTATTATAATTTATTAATCAAATTAAATTTTTTTATATAAGTTTTTATATTTATAAAATATTAATAAATATCATTTTAAATTTAAATTTAAAAATAATAATCTTTTATTTTAAAAATTTTTCATATATAAATTTTATTTTTGAATAATATTTATTTATATATTAAAATAAATATATATTATTCATTTAATTAATTTCTTTTATATAAATTAATTATAATTTATAATCTCTTTTACAAAAATCAATTCAAAGAAAGATATTTATTTAATCTCAACTTAATAAGTATTTTATTCACTTATTAGTAACTTATATATTTATATATTTCTTCTATAATTGAATACAAAATATATATATAAATAATATATATTAACTCTCAACTCGTAAGATCATAACTTTAATAGACAAAACAAAAAGTAATCAACTTATATAACTCATGTTGACAACTTCCTTCTTAGGTCTTCTATCATCACTCCAAGCACACCACTGGTATTCACACAGATCATAGAATTTAAAAGTAGAATTAGTCTTATATACAAATACACGAATATATAATATACTACAGCCTTAAAGGATATATAGAATATGTAAATTCATTACCACGCCACGCATTATTTTCCGTTCCCTCTTCCACCAATGCATACATCCCTTTCCCATCATCTCCACCGTCATTCCACAACCGCAAAACTACACCCTCTACCCTTCAACCTACGCTCAAGACCCTCCTAAAACCTCGAAATATCCCTACCAAAGAACCAATTGATCACCCTATAACCGTTAGTTTCATATCCTTTAAACATACATGAAAGGAAACAAAGAATGAAAATGAGAATGAAGGATATAGATCGTAAATACTGACCAGTACATAGGAATAAGCAATTTATTCCTCCAACTGATTGTTTGGGTAAGATATGCACCTCTCCAAATTAACCATGCTGTTCTCCTATATTTAGATAGATCGTTAGCAACTGCACCTTTAGGATTCTTTCGCGCATGTTCATTCTTCATTTTCAAGTCCCTTCACCACCAACACTAAAACTTCCTCTCAAAACGACAACAAAATTCAAGAAAGAAACTCCAACTTACCCCTTAATCTCCCCCTTCCCATCCGTCTGCATAATTGCCCTCATACCACCCACATAGGTCATAACCCCCATATTCTTAAACGTAAAACCCTTATCCTCACTTTCTCTAACTGGACCTTTCTCTAACCCATAAATCTCATTCAATCTCTTCCCCAACCACTTCGCTTCCTGATTTGCTACTTGTGCTGTAGCAGGTAATGCGATATCTCCTAATACCGCCACATCCCCAAGAGCAAAAACATCCTTCATTATTGCTTCTTGTCCGGTTTTTTCTTCGACTGAGGATTGAGATGGAGATGCTAAGGAGCGAGTAGCTAATTTAACCCTGAAAAAATTATCCACCATCAAACCACCCGTTTTCGGACTTCTTTTTAATTCCCATCTCCTGTTTTCCGGACTCTCACTCTTGTCGCTAGTTGCCTTCTCCTCGCCCGTAGACAAAATAGCCGATTTTGAGGGAAAAGTATGAACGGAACTCAACGCCTTCTCAATGAAAGGATTCATCATCAACCCCGTACTCCAAACACACATACCCACACCCACATCACCTTCTTCCTTCAAATTTAATGTGAATCCTTTTCCAATATCTCCGTTACCTCCTTCCTGGCCATTTTCTCCCTCAAGACTATCCTTTGGGAATCCTTTTCTCAATCCTAAAATATGATGTTCGGTTTTAATATCAATACCATCCCTACTGAAATGTTCCAATGCATAGTTTGCGAGATTTTTATCAAACATTGGGAGAATCTTAGGTGCAACGTCGTAGATGGTTATTTTTATGTAGGATGTTAGAGAGGGGTAAAGGGTTGAGAGATCTTCGTGACAGAGATCGAAGAGTTCTGCTGCAAATTCGACACCGGTTGCTAGATAAAAGGTGTTAGAAAAGTATAAAGGAAATGAAAACTGAGGGTCAAAAGGTAAAAACTTACGACCACCGCCTACGATAGCGAAATTTAAAAGTTGCTTTTTGAGGGACTCGGAACTAGTTGGTAATGCAGCTGTTTCGAAACCTATATTTTTAAACATTAGTAAATGTAAAATTCCAACTTAAATCTCCTCTCTTAATCTTTCAACCCCATTCCATTCTTGACGCTCCGCTGGGTCACTGCCGTGGAGGCTTTTTCGCTTCGCTCTAGATAAGGAAGAAAACCATGTGATGAAAAGTCTTGAAAAGCGGTTCCTTAAGAAGCGACGTCACTTCCGTTCTTCCACTCTCCCAATACCTCCCTCAATTCCCTTCACCAAAACAAAAGAACATAACTCCAAACCCCAAATTCAAAGACAAAAGAAGACTCACATTCCAAAATCCTCTTCCTTATCTTCCTCGCATCTCCCACATCCTTCAAAAACAGCGCATTTTCTCTAACTCCCTCAATTCCAAACGTTTGACTATAACACCCTACACTAACCACCAACTTATCATATCCAACTTCAAAAACTTTCCCCTTTCCTACCTTTTGAATGGTCGTACTTGCGGTTTTAGGCCTCTCAATTGCATTTTCTTCTACTTTGATAGTTTTTTTGTCGAAGTCTACGTCGTCTGCCCACTGTGGTATTGGAGATTTGGTTAGTTGTTTTTCAGAGAAGACCGAATGTCCGCTTAAAAGCTAAGAGCTAAGGCTGGATTCCGGACTCCTGCTCTGCAGAAGATAGAAGCGGTAGTTGGGCATTTCGCACTTCAAAACGAAAGAAACTTTCAAACTCACTCCCTGCCAAAATTCAACCCCATTATTCCTTGCTCCCCAGCCACCCCATCCACCTCCAACTAAACCCCATCCTCTCCATCTTCCTCTTCCTCTTACGCTCCTATGTGTTATTATGTCAGCAATTATACAATAAACCAAACCCAGACCCTCAGGAAGAACATGAAACCAAAACCCGACACCTCCTTCATCTTCTCATTCAATCTTCTTTCTAGTCATCCCCTGCCCTTCTATACCCCCTTCTATTCTCTTTCCCCCTCAAATCCCGAATCCCCAAATTCCCCAACAAATCCCCAAGTAAATACACCACCCAGCCTCGACCAACTCACCCCAGAAAGGAAACAAATACTCACTCAAGCGCACTCCTAAACTCCAACGTCCCCACCGCCGTACTCGCCAAAAGCGGCGTAAAAACAAAATACGATCGTGGGGAGATAACAACCGTCTGATATTTCTTCGGATCCAATTGTCTTGAAAGTGTAAAACCCGACCATCCCGAGCCGAGGATGAGTATTCTTTCTCGATCTGGGATTGTTGCGTTCGTTAGAGTGAAATGTGTGGGAGGAAATGGAATTGGAATTGAAAGTGATTAGGGGGTGAGGTAATATTGGAGGAGGAGAATATGTGCAATGTGTATATATATTTGGGGGAAAGAAAGGAAAGATAAGACACGAACCGCCTTTCGAAGCATCCAATTCACGTGTCGATATAAATCTCCTACCACTTCCCAAGCCAGCGCCCGCACCTGTCACCCTCTCACATGTCCCAAATAATCCAAACGTAGAACCTCCAACTCCATATCTCCCAGCACGCAAAGCCGTCGTCCCCTTCAAACTCGCGGTTACAAGATTACAATTCATCATATGCATGTGAAGCATGTGAAGGGTTCAACCGAGATGTAGCTGTAGAGAATTTTAAATAATCGCATCAATCAACCATGAACAACGGAACATCAAAAATCAGAAAATGGGAAATGGAAAGAAGAATGAAAAGGAGAATGAAAAGGAGTAAAAAGTCAAAAATAAAGTGAAGTTAAAATACAGCCGATTTTCTCCGTATACTCAATATCGATATCGAAATCGTAATCGTAATCGTGGTGATGCGGTCGGATAAGGAGAATGACTTGGCAAGAATGACCTCACCCTTTTTGCTAAGGTTGAATGAATGCCTTGTCTGATTCGATCAAGCTCAACCTCTACTCTACCACTTCTGGTTGAACTTTGATTTTTAAATTTTCAGTTCTGATTTCTTTCGAAGAAAAGTCAATTGTATTTGTAGCAACTGTGTGAATCTATCTGTATTAAAAGTTCCTCCTTTGTTGTTGAGTGAGTAGTCAGCATAACCTTATGGAGGGAATCGGAATTCCGCTTGTATTAGTTATTTTCTGTGGGGTGGTTCCCGTAGAATGCGACGACTGGGTGGTCTGTGTAATGTACTCGATCCTTGTATCAAGGGAATTTAACTTATTAAAAAATTAATTATCATTTTATAATTTTTCCGATTCAGAAAAATGAAATAGAACTTGTGAAAATAAAATAAAATTAAAATTAAAAATTTATAATAATAATAATAATAATAATAATAATAAATAAATATAAAATATTTTATTAAAATAATTCTATTTAAAAAAGGAAAAAAATACTTAGATAATCTTCGTAATATTAATTATATTTTTTGTTCTATTTGAAGTTTTCTATTTTGATTAAAAGAATTTTAAAAAAAATAAAATGTTAAAAACTAGAAAACTAAATTATATAATATAGTATATTATATATTTAATTAAATTTTTAAAAGAAATTTATTTTTATAAGATTTTGATTATATATTTATTAGAATTCTTATAACTTTGAAACAAAATAATTAATTTTTGAATTATTTTAAATAAAAAAATCAAGTTTAACTTGATAAATAAATATTAATAATCAATTATTAATCAAGAATAAAAACTTTATATTCAAAATATTATTTATTAAAAGAATTAAAAAAAGAATTAAAAGAATAATTAAAAGAATAACCAAAAGAATATAATTATATATATAGCGAAGTTTCCTGCGCCGCCACCACTCAATGCTCAATACAAATCGGCGTTTTCGGTCGGCGACGCGATCAGGTGGTGACCTGCCGCTGTCACCACCTCTCATTCCAGTACCGGATCTGCACCCAGTCCATACTGCGAAGCAAGAGGTCCGTGGCCGCCACCTTGACTAAAGCCGCCTGTTATTCCCACTGTTGAACATGAACCCCCTCCGACATGATAACCTTCTGCGCTAGCCGCTGGATAAAAGTCAGCATAGCCAACGCCAGCACCGATATGCACTGCAGGTCCAGTGTAAAAGGGGCTGCTGTAGTTGAAGAAGTCAATATTATCAAGATTACGCATCCATAAGCCTAGCGAGCCTGCTCCGGCCGACCTTCCCAGGTAATCATGTCCGGTATTCTTGATAGTGAGCCGTATATTATTGCTCTGCGCAAACTGAACACCTGCAATGACATCTTTGGCAGTACTGATATCAAGGGCATATGATGCAAGGTTTCCTAAAGTACAAGAGCCCCGAGGCCCGAAGAATGGGCTGCAGGAGTTGTTCATCCAATACGGAGACATGATATTGACCGGAACGGCTTCGCTTGATGAGTATCGGTGTACTTATCAAATACTCTTCGGGCATTCTTCCACTTACTACGGTGATAGTGATATCCAATCGTCTTGGATTTTTCGAGCACTCCAAGATGTTCAATTGGGAACCGTAACAAGGTTCGCCTAGAGAAACGCCGCGGATATGTTTGCCTCCAATAGTATGGTTCAAGTTCTGCCAAACTCTTGGACAAGGCCATGCGGCGTTACTTGGAAGGTATCGGCATACTGGCTCGTGGCGAGTAATCATCGGCGTACTTAGAGATGTATTTCCAAGAGGTAGCGTGAGAAACACAGCGATTATCCTCGTTAAGCGTGGCATCTTGTGGTAAAAACCGATATCTGATTGCAGACATTGCGGAAAGGTGATTTGCTTTAGGCATATTTATTCTCCTTGATTTTTGCCCTCTTACCCTATGCACTCCGAATATCAATCACTCTTACTGGAATGGAAGCCCCTCTTGCAGACACATGCACAAGGTAGGATAATCACGAGCTAGTTTTAGGAACCTACGCCACGGCTTAGCATCAACCTTTGCATATTGGTCAAGTGGGGGTGGTGCAGTAATACGTGCGCGTTGAAACAGTAACATGCATATGACTTTTAAACCAGCGAGTCTTACAGGCAATATATGTACGGACTGCCTTCCAACCAAACCAACCCCATAGTGACAGGCAACATAAAAATCAACGCAGTCCACCACTTTCACTTCTTGAAAAGTACGACAAATCAAGACATTGTAGTAAAATTCCTACTCGTTTTCAATATCTATCGATATCTTTTCCCAACCTTCCAAGGCTCGGTTTCGAAGCCACTTTTACGTGATGGCAGCTAACCATGAGAGCGTTGCGCAATGGCAAGATGCGTTGTTGCTTCATGTCGTCGACCGATTAGCTCGGGATAGGGCAGATGCCAAGTATGGCGAATGGGTTACCAGCTCCAGTGTAATCACCATTACCTACGCACAGCTTGCCAACATCATTAATGGTCTGGCTTGGTTGCTTGTGGAACAGCTTGATGGCCCTGGTAGCTATGGCGCTCACGCCGAGGTTTTGGCATATGTTGGTGCGAATGATGTACACTACTCGGCGTTGGTCCTTGCTGCCAATAAAGCTGGTTATACGGTTCGTATACTTGTTATTGTCTCTGTCTTGGTTAAATGTACTGACATGCGTATGATTCTTAGATATTTGTAACTTCACCCCGAAACAGCCCGTCTACCGTGCTTTATTTGATCGACTAAAATGCCGCACTTTGATTATATCAGACCCTATTCCACCGCCTGCTAATGCTATTTTTGATGCCGTCAAACCACTACATAATTTTACGGTGTCGTCGGTTGAAGAGCTTCTGATCAAGCACTACCCGGCTTACACATTGAACAAGACCTTTCAAGAGCTGCGACAGACCCCTATGGTCGTAATGTAAGGCTTGCTATGCGTTCTAGTTCTTCTTTACAGCTAACAAAATCTCTAGGCATACATCTAGGAGCACAGGATTACCCAAGCCTATTATTTGGACACATGAAACATGCACACAGGTTTTAAATACCAATGGATGCCAGACTCCGGCGAAATTCCTTCTGTAAAAAGCTTGATCAGTGGTAAGCGTATCATTGTAACGCTACCACCATTCCATGTATGTCATTCTAAGTTGATTAGAAGACTGAAGCTAATAAATTTTGTAGGGGCGCTCTCCTGATTGAGCCAGTTTTGGATTTACCTCTTACAACAGCAGAACAGGCTGCTCTTATAGAGCGAATATGGCCGAGTATTGAAGAGAGTAACCGCACTGCTCCAGCTCATGCACGTGTTGAAAAATCTTTCGTTCTCGTCATTCCCATGGACCGCCGCCTAATTCGTGCTCCCAAGGGAATTTTTATGCGTGGTGCTAATATCAGCCTGTACACCGAAGAAATTGAGAAGCTTTACAAAAACGTAGATGTGTTGTCGACTAACAACGATGATTTGACTAGCGATACAAGGCAACATGTCGCTCCAACAGGTCTTGACGGAACTATGCATCTTGTCCGGCAACAAATCCTTGCTGTAACAGATTGGCCAAGTCTCGACAATGATGACAATCTCTTCGACCGTGGTATGGATTCACTCCAAGGTCTCCAGCTAATGCGTACTTTACGACGTATCTTTTACCATCCTGATTTTGCCCTTTCCTTTCGACTGTCTATCAAAACCCCACCGTATCCCAACTGGTAGCCGCCATTGTTACACCTAATGGAACTGTTCAAAGTGAACGGGGGTCTGTGGAAGGTTTACTTGCTACATACCGCAAACTCATACATCATATACCAGTATCTAAAGAGACAGCTGAGCCCAAGCAGGCATCTGAGCAAGTCAATGTCCCCTTGACCGGGCCTACAGGCATCGTAGGTACTCACTTATTGCAAGCACTACTTAGCCGCGATAGAATTGCACGCATATTTTGCTTGAATCGTGGCGAAGACGGCGGGAGAGACACACAATACAAAAATTTCGTTGCAGCTAGACTCCCTACAAGCCAACTTGACAAACGTGTTACTTTTATCAAAGTCAATGTCGAGTCACCATTCCTAGGTCTATACGACTCGCTACGTTCAGAGGTCAATCTCATTGTCCATGCAGCATGGCCCGTCAATTTTAACCTGGTACTATCTGCGTTCCGTCCACAGCTTGCCACGTTGGTAAACTTGTTCACTCTAGCTGCTTCTGCTACTTCTCCCACAGTACGGTTCAGTTTCATATCATTAATAGCCGCTGTGGAGGGACATAGATACGGTCCAGCTCCCGAGCAAATCCTCGAAAGCCTCGATACACCTGCACCTGGGACAGATCTCCGATAGCCTTGGTCCAGGGTTTAACAATGTCGATTTTGTGCCTGTGGACTTGTTGAGCGATATACTAGTTGACCTGGCTACGGCTGTAACGACACGAACAGCCGATAACGCTGCGACGGTGTTCAATCTGCGGAATCTGCAGCTGGCGTCTTGGAGCACGTTGTTGTCTGCTATTGTGGCAATACAGCCGCTTCAAATAGTGTCACCTGCGACATGGCTGGCTAGTTTGCGAGCGAGCAGCAAGGCAGATTATGAGGATGTGGCGGCGAACCCGGCTGTTAAATTACTTGATTTCTTTGAAAGCTTGTGGGCGATACACGCGGATACTGAGAAAGTGTCAGTGCAGCTTATGGTGGTGGAGAAGGCTCTCGAAGCAAGCCCTGCCATGCGAAAGCTAGATGCTGTTAAAGTGGAATGGATGCATAAATGGGTTGAAGAATGGGTGGCTGCGAGGAAGTGAATACACTGTGTCCATCCTAGAGCTCGTGGATACGGTATGGCGAGCTCTTCTTCTCTTTCATGTGATTCATATAGTTTGGGGCGGTATTCCTCCAATATAAATAACCAGTCACCCAAAATAATAATATGAATAATTACATTTCAAAAGACAAACTGCTGTAGAGATAGGTTTGAGGATAACTATTATAAACTATAATACAACCTTTCAACAACACCCCAATATAGCCCTTCGCAGTACCTGTAGGTAAACTTTGCCAGACTCGCTCGAATCTGATATCGAATTACTAGGCTAGCGAGGGCTTGAATCGACGAATCACATGATTCAAATTCGATATTACGGGGATTATCCGATCACCTCCAGTCGGAGGGCATCCACTGCTATTGCAGCCAATGGAAAAAAATGTTGCTTACTCTTACAACCACTGTAGACTATAGTCATAAATAACAATTATAAATTTTGATGAGATAAAGTTCATCGCACTAATACAGATATACGTGAACGATGTCGTTGGGGTGTACAGGGGGAATACTAAGGCTATATAAAACAACAGCAGTAACGAAGCTCATTGAATATAATATAATTATCAAAACATCAAGAACTTGTTTTATTTGGTAATTTAATACAAAGATTTTAAGATTAATTAAGATTGAAATTCTTTTATCAAATTTATTATTTTTGTTTATTATAAACTATAATAAACTATAATTATAAATTTATAAAACTTAAATACAAAAGTTATATATTTATTTATATAATAATATTATATTATCATTCAAGAACTATCATTCTTTATTCTTTATAACAATAAACCACAATCACAACCACAATCACAACTACAATCATATAAAGTAATTCTTATTTATCAATAACAAGCACTACCTTACAATCCCATCTTTCCTCAAACCAACATCAACATCAACATCAACCTCAACAATCGACCCATTACTCCTTTCCAACTCTCTTTGTCTCTGAAAACTCTCATCCATCTGATCCGCAAAAGCAAAAAGTGTTTGACCCGCTTCTCCAAGATCATTTAATCTTTGGGTATTTCCACTTTCACTCTCATTCTCCTTCTCCCTCTTACCAGGCCAATGTTCAGGCATTTGGATCAAACCCTCATGCAGCGCATAACCTGCCACCAGTCCAACAGCAGCAACTAAACTTCCTACCGTTGTAACATATGTCCAGATATTACTACCACCACTACTACCCGAATCTTTTCCCGCTTCACCACCATATCGCTGCATGCGATTATCTTTTCTCCGTTGTCCTACAACCGGTAACGAATCTGCAAGACTAGTCAAAAATATACCCCCGACATTTAGAATACCACGAGATTCGGGCGCTTGCCACGGTAAACTTTTGTTCTGTTGTACTGCATTTGCAGGACTTTGGACAAGCATTGCATCATCCACCGTAACCACACTATCCCACATCTCATCTTTCAGCTCTTGTACCCACTTGACCAGATCTGGAAACTTTCTTCTCATGGTTCTTGCAAGCCATGGTTGTGGTAACTCCGGATATAACATAAGTGATATGAAACCCAAGGCCAGACAATCTAGACTTGAGATTTGGGAATCTGAAACGAGATATCTTTTCTTTCCTTTTAATTCTTGAATTGATTCAAAAAAATCAGTTGCTAATGCATCAAGTCTGATTTGAGCATTGGTTTCAGGTGATGCAGCAAGTAAACTTGAGACGGTTTGTTTACCCCTTCTAAGAGATTCGGGGATAATACTTGGATCTCTTGATTTATCACCATCTTCGGTATCGATATCCAGAGCAGATAGACCTAGATATTCTGTTCTTTTCTTAGCTTCGGTTCGGAGATGAGGTGGTGTGAGATATGGTAGGGGAAAAGGTTGTATGGTATTGAAAATCGGACGTGTGACTTCGGTATAATTCTGTGAGGAAACATAGAGTGAGAGATCTAGTAACGGTTGTCCATGCATTTGGATAAATGCAGAATACCTAAGCGACCAATCAATAAGTTTCATTCATCACCACGTTTAAGGAACTCTTCATCCGTTTTCCCATTACTCACGCTGTACAATCGGCCTTTTCTTGTCCTCGTAAACTCGCATCCATATCCCATTTTCCAGATGAATATTCTGTAATCAAATTGACGATATTTCTGTATCCTCCCACCCAATCCCCATTATCCCCATCTCTCAAAGCAGGTAGTTCACCTGTGGAATTTATCAACATTGGACTTTTCCTCTTTCAAACATCAAGGATGGCGAAAGGATGCATGTTGTGTGTCACGTACTCGTGGGACTGAGGGTTGGATTGCTAGTAGCAACAAGGAACCATTGACCACGTGGGATAACTTGTTGCATATATGCAATGGTAGCTAAGCATTGTGCATCAATAGAGGGAAGGCCAAATGATGGACCCCAAACATGAAGCTCAAGAACCATGATTAGTGATTAATGATTTATGATGAATGATGTATGATGAATGATTTATGATTTAATGCGAGTTATGCGAGAGTATTGCGGCAGATGGATGTGGTGTGGTGTGGTGTGGTGTGGTGTGGTAGTATTGTGGTATTCGATATGGTGGTATGGCTATAGGTGGTATGGCTATGGTGTGGTCCAAAATGGTATGATTGATGATTTGATGCTTTGAGCCATGATTCGATATGTGGGGTAAGAATTAACATTTTAGAATTTAAACTCGCGCTACATAAATACTAGAACTAAAATAGAACAATAATAAATATATGGGTCTACCGACCGCCAACCACCGACCACCGACCACCGACCACCGACCACCGACCATCGACTATTGAATCTCGACCATTAGATTATTATAGTCATCTATCTATTATTGTATCAAAATCTGCAAGTGGTCCAAAATGATTAAATTATATATCCGTGTATTGATTGAGCTTTATTCTTTTATTTTTATTTCCGTATTTACTACTAGGTATACTTGCGGTGAAGAGATGCAAGTAATTTTGATATGGATCAAACGGTACATATGCATATGCGCGTATATTGTAAACGGTGAAGAGGAGGTAGAAGGAAGTCCAGACTGAAATTGGGGTGGGAGGCATCGGTTGTTACCGTTATTGTTGTTGTGATGTTGTGGTTGGCTTGATCATGATTCATCTAGAAAGATATTTATGTAAGATTATAATTTATAAGATTATAATTTATGTTTCAATCGATAAGCAATTCATTCATTTAGTCAGTCAGTCAATCAATCAATCAATCAATCAATCCATTGCACTTGTTGCCAAGTCCCTTTACATGCTCCCTCCCCTTCCCGCTTCCCGTTCCTGGCGTTCCTGAATAACTTACCCGTGTCCACGTGATACAATTTCTATTTCATCCTTTTCTCCTCTTTTCTCCTGATTTCTCAGCTGCTCGGCGATCACCCTTTCCTATCGCATCACCTCAACAACCACATAACCAAACATAACCACATATATCACCACACATAACACCACCACAAACTTCTAACCAAAAACACCCGTCGGAATATTATGCTTACCTCCCTCATTACACACACACCAAAAAAAAATAACCCCCAATGCAACACAACATAAATGATAGTACTCCATCTACGTCGCATCCGTCTCGCCGTGTTCCCGTGCCACATTGACACAGAGAGGGAGAGAAGACCTCAATCTAACCATTTTAATCAAAGCTAACTACCTTTACCCACACCACCGGATTTCTGTCATGAAGTTATCAGTCAGTCTTCAAAAGACTAACTTGATAATGATAATGCTAATGCTAAGCCTTCTTCCCCTCATTCAATAAACGCCATGGAATCCTTCGTAAGCCCTAGTATAGTATACTACTTCACACCATGATACTCTGTAACTACCCTACCTAGGTATACATCTGCGTAGTTTCTCCATATAATTGAGATATTTACTAGGTAGTCAGGGGCCGGTCAGTCTTACATTGATTGGATATTCAACTGTTCGACTCAGAATAGGTATCAAGTCATAGCTTTCTTCCTATGCATCAGCTGGTCATGTTACACAAGAATAAGGTGAGACATAATCACTTATATCATATCGTCTACTTTTCTTTACCTTAATTTATCGAATCGAATTTCCATTCTATACCCACCCATCCGTTTGTTTGTCTGTTAAAACTCCCGCTGTTGAGCCTATCTACCGTAAAGTCATGTCGTAATATCTAACATCTAATATCAGATCTCCAAAAATTAACATAAACAGAAACATCCAATTTCGCAATCATCTCCTACAAAAGCCATTGCAATATAAATTTCATACTCCACACAACGGGTAAGGTTTAGTAAGTAACTTCTCGCTAAACTAAACTCCTTTAGTTATCTACTCCAGCCTATAGACGTAGACAGAATATTTGAGATGATCCCTTGCATCATGTTTAATCTATTATACTTTTGTATCTTATCCGTTTGAAAATCTATATGTACGAAGTACGAACTACGGAGTATGTAACATATGTAAATCCATTCCATCCTCGCATCCAAATCCGAGGAGAGGGGCAAAATGGAAGAGAAGATCGTCGAGGAGTTATTGATTAAGTTTTAATGTTAATGTTAATGTTAATGGACAGACCACTTACTCAACATCCATCATATTAAGTTCATCGCAGATCGCCTGTATCCTTACGAGACAAGACATAACATATTGTTATGGAGTCGATGATGTAGGTAGATAGATAGATGTTCTATTAATTAGTGAATGCTTAAGCAGGGTAAGGGTTTTGTATGGCTGTATGGATGGATAGAGTATGTATGGATGTATGGGAGGGGTCATTCAGATCAAGGGGTTTGTTACTCACCGACTACCAGGGTCTTTCCCCTCTATCAATAAACTTTTAGAGATTTATTTTATTCCCTTGTTATATTATACAGAGTATGTATGTCTATGTTGTATGTATTTACCAGGTATCTATCAAAAGATGCACAAAAATTCCAGTCTGTTTGTCGATCTGTATCTGCCCCTGCTTGCCGGCTTGCCTTTACCTTTGCTTGTTCGATATCATGTATGTATGTATGTAGGTAGGTAGGTAGTTGGTCATAATCTGTTGTTCGTTACAACACGCGGCGCAGGAAAAATCACCTCAAGCCAGCCAGCCAGACAACCCCGCCCCCAACCACTGATACACATACACACACACGCGGGCATACAAACGGGAAGACATTCATTCATGATCATCCACCCAATGCGCTTTTGTCTTCCGTCCATACATCCATACTTACCTACCTCACTGAATGAATGCTTCTAGAATAGGTAGACCATGGCTAGTTATGTTGATCAAATCAAATTTAAAGATCAATCAATAAATCTCCTCCTCCTCGTCGTCATCCTTCTCCTAGAATATGCAGGAACGAACTGAACGAACGAACGGCGCGGGAATAACCTTAGATAGATGATCATCATCCTCATTTTTTAATCATGACCGACCGGCCGACCGAGCACGCGAGACAAGATGACGGGGAATGAGGAATGATTGAATGACTGACGTTGCAATTGATGATTGATGATTGACGAACTATTTGATTAGTGGTTTGATATATAACCCATCCATACATACATACTCCGTACAGAGTGCAGCGCATGGATTTTCAAGATTTTCAATCCAATAGCTCGCCATCTATCGTCATGCGAAATTTTGATAACCACCTTAAGCCTTAAGCCTTAAGCCTTAAGGTTACCTAGGTAGGTAGGTAGGTACTATTATTTATTTGAAAGAAAGGATCAGATCGGATGAGCGCTTTCTTCCCTGACTTGGTTTTTCCTTCCTCTGCAATTGCCGGTCAATCCCGTTTGTAATGTATATGTGTTTTATGTGTTTCTAAGTTCGCATGATTATCAATGATCTGAATGCATATGATCACTATTTGACTGGTCAGTTGTAAGACTACATCAATACTTGAGTCTTATGTCATATCATATCATGCCCGGATGTATCTCCCTCCGTTCGCATCCATACATCCATACTTACTTACTAGGTAAATTTACTAGGTATATACACACCATACATACATACATACATCCAAATCATTACCTCATCACAACAGCACCACTTCATCTCATCCATCACCTCATCCATCACCTCACCTCTTCAAAATGCAGACCCCTCATCCGTAGAATACCCTTGAAATACCCCTGTCCCGCTATCTCCGACAGACTTCACTCACAAGTAGGTAAGTACCTAGGTACCTAGGTATATATCCGACAAAAAGGAAAATAAAACAAACAAAATAAAACCGCGAATTAATATCAATGATCTCTTAACACAATGTATGTATATATATACTATCTACTATATGAAATTCAAGACTTATCATGTGAATATATACTATACTCAATAAGCAAAGCGACTGATGAACACTAACCTTAACCAATAAGACTACGGAAGGAAAGGACAAGAAAAGAATACGATATCAGCTAGCCCGGGAATTTGAATGTTCAATTATTTATTATTTATTGTATGATTTTATGTGGGGTGGTGGAAGGTTGAGTTATTTTCCATTTTTTTAATTTATATATGAGTGTTTTTTTGTGGTAAGTTGAGGATGAATGATGTATGGATGATGTATGTATGTGTGTGTATATGTGTATGAGTTTGAATCTGAGTATCAAGGATTAAACATTCTTATAAATAAACAAACAAACAAACAATGAGTTAATCATCTAAGGTTACTAAGAAAACATCAGAGGAATGGAATATTCATACTCATAAATCACAATCACAAGCAAAGAAGAAATACAGATACGGTAGATTAAAAATATGATTGATATATTCTTTCCATCTTTCCTTCATCATCAAATCTCATCATAGCAAGATAAGGTAAGCAAGCTAAAGCTTCCATCCCCTCATATCGAACCATTACCCCCAAAAAATACAAAATCGCAATCTTTCCCAATCCATAGATATAGGTGGTGATGCTACCAAATCCTTAAAACTCCCCAGGTCCCACCCAATAAGGGTAACCCATTCATCATATCCCATCCCATCCTAATCATCCCGATCAGATATCCGAAGGTTAAAACGCCAAAATATTGTTATTGATATTGGTACATGCATAAGAAAATTATTAGAACATCGTATGTGTGAATGAAAAATTGAATGAAACCGTTCGCCGCGGTACATTGTATGTTGGTACAAGAAAGGGTTTGGAAAACTCAGATCAAATCAAAGTAGATAGATGATGAGCTGAGTATGAGTAAAAGAGGGTATCGAGATAAGCGTGCAAGCAAGTCAAAGTCGAGCCTGCTCGAATCTCTGCTATTGTGCGAGAAGAGAATGAATGTGTCGTCGTAGGTAGTATGAATGCGTGAGAATGTGTGTGTATGTAAATGTGTATGTGTATGCGTAACTCGCTGCGCCGTTCGGAGAAACTATCTGTATAGGTCCGATCCGTGATAGATGGAACCATATACTCGGGATGAATGCAAGCTCTTGGAAATATGCAAGAAGCTCAAGAAGCGCCGAAGAGAACAGCTTTGTGGAGGGGTAGTACA